CAAAATCGCAAACTTCTCCCTGCTCTGCAGTACTCCAGTGCCGGCGACATGGGTTTTTCCTACTTGGCCTTAGAACAAGCAAATCTCGAACCAACATCTTCGAAAAACTTTGTGATAGGCCTCAGTAGATGTTCTGTAGATTTTCAGGTCGCACAAGATTTTTCTCTTCCAGTTACGTTGCATAAACTGCTCCCATGGTGTAGGTAGTCGGTAAGTACCGTCGCCCATACGCTTCTAGCAGTATACTAAACCTGACCAGAGATAAGATACATTCCTTACCTTTGCCTCTTCCTATGCCTCCACTTCCTGTTACCAGTATTCAGCCTCTTACAACTTCCCAAACCTCACTATCTGTAACCGTTTCTAAGGGCTCAAGCCATATAAATACCGTTCCCAGTCTCCTAAGACCGCACTTTCGGTTTTTTATTACAACTTCTAACATCCAAACCCTTTGCCAAATCGGACAAAGACACCTCTTGTCAAAGCTCCGGAACCTCGAGCCATAACTGTAGGCTGTGTTTCTGAGACACGCCTACAGGTCCTGAGTGTTACTTTTCACTTAACCTGATTTGGTCAATACAGTTAATCTTCGAATTTGCTTTATGAGTGTCCTGAGAGTCAATGGGTAGCTCTCGTACACTCACTGGTGTAAGTATAACAGCACTAGGTTGTAGAGCAGAAATGGTACTTCTTGACTGATTACCAGTCAATAGTTGAGTTCTGCTGTCGAAAAATGGTTTCTTAAAAACTGAAAAGAACTGTGACACTTTTCAAAACCAATTAGTTTCTGTACCTATGCACCCATAGACTCCAATTCGGATAATATAAAAGGGGAATTCTCTCGGAAACTGTCAAGTTTTATATGTCAAACAAAACATTCAGACATAGTCATAATAGCAGCGGATTTAAAGCCTCAATTAGGAGGGCTGAAACAATTTCAACAATGTCCTACATATATATCGATGGAAATCTATGCAAACGAACTGATAACGATCATCGTCTGTTGAAATTTTGTCCTGACAGTTTCATTTCTTTCTGACCATCACCAAATTCAAGCGAAAGGAGAAAGGTGGTTTCTGCAGACACCAAACCAACGATGAACAAAGACAAATCATAATCCTACGACTCATTGCTGTAGGGGATCGCTAGAAGATTACCGGTGTCTGTGGAGTACCTGTTTGGACTCCAATCTTACGCTGGTACTGATATGTGTATGTTTGCGCCATGCTGGTTGCGGCAAAAATGCCCCAATGAAGCCTAAGCGTTCTCGGCTGGAAGGTGAGAACTTGAAATACGTATTTAAGAAGGAAATTGCTTAAATTCTACCTGAGCGTGACAGACATTCTTATCGTTAGGAAACCTGGCATCATATTGAAAATGCTGTTAAGACAGCGGTAAAGACAGTTGGTAGCCGATATCCAAAGGTTTACAAAAGTCAGCAGACTTCCGCAACGTCATGAGGACTGACTAATGTTAAAAGGCTCATTCCAGCTAACTCTGACCACAATGAGGGGAGAAAGCAACTTAAACGTAAACTAACTGAGATTTTGCAGTGACCGTGAGTAGTGGCGGATGGTGAAAGTGAGGGGGATGGAGAAGGCATCAGCACTAAATGATGCTTGGCAATTACTTCAGATTGTTATGAATACTTGCAGGAAGATGACTATGATCAATGAGACAATCGCTGAAGATTATGCCGTCCTGATTGCATCTCAAGACAACAAATTACTAAGTAAGGTAATGGAGATACTGGTAGCTTATGGGAATCTGAGTTACTCCTATCTCACTGGTCCACTTCAGTGACCATTCTAGCCTATCAGAAAGGAAGAAATTCTTTTTGTGACAGGCACGAGGAAGTTAGTTCAACTGACATCGTGTTCAAGATCGTTGGGTCCACAGCTACCAGACACCTAAGATTACATAACGGCAAACCTGAGACAGCTGGGTAATCTTCATACCTGGAAAGAGAGTGCATTGATCAAATCTTCACCATTCTTCAGGTTATGGGACACAGGTATAATTACCAGTGGCTGCTATTTGCCCTATTTCTTAACTTGTAGTTGGCATTTGACTCTGCCAGCCGTAAGGGGTTATGGTAGTGTCTGACTGTGAAGCGAGTATACAGCAAGTATGTAACTTCAGTCAAGGCTCTTTACTCGAAATCCCGCAGCCACGCATGAGGGTTAGGAAAGTTGTCGTACGAGTTGATGACAACCAGTGCTGTCCGCTGAGCATGCCTGCTGTAGTCATTCCTATCTAACTTCGTTACTAACTAATTAGTGGATATAGCCTAAGGAACCTCTGACTTCATAGGAATTGACCTCCTCCACGGAAAGCACCTGGTCGACTCGGAGTACACAGACAGTATAGTCCCGCTAGGTGAAGACACTAACAAAATGCAGTCTTCTTAACGCCTTGTGTAGGAATTTGAGTATATCTGGCATGCATTTTGAGCCAGTCAAATGTAGAATGATGTTTCAAGTTTGGTCTGCAGCTACTTTCAGTTTTGTAATAGTGAGTGAAGTGGTAGAATATGTTGGTCACTCTGTTAATTCTAGCTAGTTGCGTCAGCCTGAACGAGTCAGTTAATGACGGAATCCCAGATGGATACAGGAGGCTCGTTCGACACTTGCCAACATGAGTTATCTCTGACGCCAACTGGACAGATATCCAGCTACTTATTAGAGTACGAGGTTTCTGCGCTGCATTTTGATCTGTCACTATGAAACATGATCTTTAAAAGTAAAAGATATGAAGTGGTTACATATTTCGATCACAAGTATCCTCAGAATATTGCTCACGTATAGTCGACTCGCGCTTTGTGAGCAGTGTGAAATTCAGGAGAAGGGAACTACGCAAGAAAGGGAAGGCGGTTCATGAGCTTGTGAACTTTGGTCGACCGAGGTAGCTTGGACATGCGTTGCGTATGTCAAGTCACCAGCTGCTTCGACGTACAGTGTAAGTCGAAGTAGAGTTTGTTCTGAAGGTTTGGGGTGTCTAGACCAAGACATAACATTAGTGCATAAAGTCCTTGACTGCTGGTCTGAGTCGTAAGGGGAGGTGTAGACTACCTCATTAGGGTCCCCGAGATGATAGTTAGAAGCCTTTCTTGACTTAGTTGCAAATCGGTGACAATGACACAGATGTATTGATTTCTTGACGTCTTTTAAAGCTTCAGCTTTTCCAGTAACCTGGGTTTTCGAATTCTTACTCCTCCTTTTCATTTTTGTTTACTTTAATGAGTCTTTTTCTGTCCACTTGTTCATGCTACTGTAAATTGTGATAACTTGAACTGATACACGTCTTAGCGACGTTCAGTGTTTGTCTTTTTCTGTCTGTCTATCTATCAAGTCGTAAAATAAGTAATCTCCAGACACTCTACAGATGCTTATAAGCAGTAAACCTAAGAAAATTAAGCACTTTTAGACCCTCATATTTCAAGGTATAACTCCAACTCCAGGAGTCATTAGCTGTATGCAGAAGAGAATTTTCTCAGAGAAACCGAAAGTCAGTGTTCATAGAGAACATCATCATCAATCTCTCATTTCCACTTCATTGAATCCATTTCTTATTCTTCTTCGATAAAAAAATAGTCTATTATTCTAATATGCTTTACTTTCTGCTGAGCTCATACTTACGTTTACAATGATACCTTGTTCAAGAATGATGAAGAAAGCAGTTGTTTGAGGTGGGGGGAGAACTTCGTTTGTTAACAGAATTGTATCATTCTTCTCTAGCAGACTGATAATGGTATCTTCACAAGTAAACAGAAGCTGAATTGGCATATACTAACTTCCTTTGTGTGAAAAAGTCCTTAAAAGCAGTAGTACACTCCTCAGAATTTGATAGTAGTGTAAATATTCTCGAACTAAATGAATGAGACACAAATTTAGCTGCAATCTAAACTGGTTTTTTATGTTAGGTCAGATAGCATCAAGATGAAAGAATATTAGGAGAGTGACTTTGAAGGCTATCCTAGCAACTGCTGAGGTGACGAATCAGGCTTCGATATTTTCCCTGCGAAAGTACTTTTCGATAAAATACAGGAAAGTAATTGGCTGTCTCATCAGTTGCTAGAGTGGCCTTTAAAGTTACCCGTGGTTAGACGATATTGTGACATTCCATCAGTTCACTTATTTTTACTGTGCTTCATATAGGAAAGTAAAGACTAAATCACTGGGTTCAGTGAACTTGTAGGGATCAAGGTTAGAGATAGTAAGAGCAGTATTTAAAAATCTGCCACAATAATACTGATAAATTCACTAGTTTTTTGTCTTAGTAATGATCGTTTATTCATTATATGCCCTGCAACCTTCATTTTTGTTTTAAATATACTTCAATGTCAAATGATTTTTGTTTTACTGTTGCTGACTGCAGAATGTTGAGTCGACACAATTTTAGTAAGGTCCTACTTAAATCTGTCTGTCTGTGTTAGTTCAGTCACCTGGTAGGTTAGAGACTTTAATGTTCGAATACGTATTATCTACTGTTGTCTGTCTCTTCATGATTATTATTATTATTGTCATTATAGCAATTATCTCTGTTCATGATGATTCATTTTCTACGGTCACTCAACCAAGTGGTTAGTTTGTAAAAGAATACCAATAGTGTCTGAATGACTTAGTGAGTAGCAAGCTGGTGGTTGAAACAGTTGCTCCTGAGTTCGAGTTTCAGTGGGAATAATATCACTCGCTGGAAAGTAGGTATATCCGGTTGACGAGTCCTGAATGGGATGAAACGTACATTCTAAGTTCCACTGCTTGCCAATATCCATCTTTGAAGAGAATATCCAATTAAAACTCTCTTCATCATTAGGTGATTAGTCCTACTACTATCTAAGTTAAACACTGCAGTCATATGTTCAAAAGACATGTGTTCGTTCTCCGATTTGCCATCACATAGTTTATAAAACAAGACTGAATGGCTTAACGGAATTCTGAAATATCGCATAAATTAATGAATACTCCTCTTCCTTCTTTTTATTCTGACTACTAATTCAGGAACCATATATGAGATTTTTAAACGGTTATGTTACATGTCAGTTATCAAATATGAGATTCTTTATCCGATCAATATCATCACGTACACTGAATCATGATAATGGCAATGTTGACGACGTTGTCGGTACTGCTACAACAACAACAACTGCTGCTGTTCCTGTTACTGATACTGATTGTGTAACACTATTGCCAAAAAGTTGTCGTCAGCAGACATCATCTCATCATCATCAATAACTAAAAAAACATTACAATGTAATATCAAGGATACAATTGATGAAAACTGTGAATTGGCTAATATTCATCTTATACTTTCAGATGTTTTGTTTCCTGATACATTAACATTTCCAGGGAATGTTACTCCTATGAATGCAATCATGAATAATAGTAATGATCATTTCATGACAGATACAAAGGCTAACAATAGTATCAATCATCAATGGATTCACAGAGTATGCATGAAATGGTTCCATTAGTTTTCTTAGTAAGTCGAATATGTGATTCAATTGTTTTCTTAAATGAATGTTTTCATATCTTTTGGTTTATACTACAGTAACAGTTTATGTAATGCAAATATCAATTTGCCTGATTTGTTCATATCGAAATGTAAAGGGTTTTGATACCTCCTATAGGTTATACGGTACACATCTGTCTATTCAAATTATGTAAGTATAGATGAATTACTTGCAGTAGGCATTAGTTGTGGATTAAAGCTGATTTATTATTCTTTGCCTAAGATTTTACATAATATTGACTGTTGAACTGATAAGAAATATCCGATACTTATGATTTGTCCGAAATTAGAAAGTTGCATATTCAAGAGTTTTAGCTTTCCATATATCTTCTTAGCAGTAACAGCCTTACTCAAATTGTAGCTCATGAATTATCAGTATAAGTGGGAAATAACCAACTCTTCTTTACTTATTTGGTCAATAAGTGAATTGGCTTTCTGGGAGTAATTAAGGTCACAGAAACAGCTATTAAACTATGCATCATACAAAATGTTTTGTTCAGTAATGATGATTATCGAAAGTGTCGCTGTATAGTACAGTTCTCGAACCTATGACCTATTAGTTGAAGCTAAGATGTTCAAACATATAAGAAAAACCACTTTACATGATGGAAGCCTCAATTAACTACAAAATAACTAACACTATGTATGAGTATTTCTGATTAACACTGTAGTTATTTTTCACTAATAGCCTACAATGTCATGAATTCAGAATACTTTTTAAGTAGGTTCTTGAGTTTTATTCAATTCTTGCAATGGAATACTTTTGTCCCTGAAAAACGGTGTACTTTTACTTATCATACGTTTTCAAAAATCTGTAAAGTACGTGAAGTTGTACGTTTTTTTATCTGTATCAATTATGTTATCGTGGCGTTGACCATAAAGCCTCTACTGAAGTGTGATTACTTGGAACGAAAGACATTCAGCTAGTCTTCATACTTAATTTTAGTCATCATTCATTCATTCAATATCAATATGAGATTTGACATTACTGCGTAACACTTCAAGTTATAAAACCTTATATCACCACATGAAGTAAGAATGCATCAAGATGAAAGATAGAGAAATAAGGAAAAAGGAAGTAGAGGGTCGTGAAACGAGAACAAAAAAGGGTGGCATGACGACTACTGAGATCATAAATTGGGAGTAGTTGCATACCAGGCCTAGTGATTTCTTTGTCTTATATTAACTATGAACGAGATAAAACTATTGTATGACTCTAGATTACTCCATAATTGGGTTACCCTGATGGTCTGACCAATGAATTACGCAAGTTGACGTTTCTAAATACTCATGTTATGCATTGATATGCTTCACTTACATTACTATATCCATATTGACAATATAAAACAGGTTGATTTTCTGTTTTGTTTAAGTTTGAAGATATTGGTCAGTTTTATATATATATATATATATATATATATATATATATATATATATATATATATATATATATATATATATATATAATTTCTCTTTTCCTCAAATTATCTCTAGAAAGACGTCGATATTACTGTAATGGCAAGTTTACCAGATGAATTATCCTCTCTTCCAAGAATACTGGATGATATCTCACGAGTTTTACAACGTAATTCCTCCAGTGGATGCATGGATTATGCGAAAACAATGTGTTCTGTTAATAATCACAATAATTTAAACCATATAGGTTTCAATGGTATTCAAGAAAGTAGACAGTCAGGTTTTTCACCCTCTTTATTGGGTAATGATGGTTTTACTGATGATGACAAAGGTCACCAGTCGATTAGTTCACTTCATGATCAATATCCTCGTCATCATCATCGACATACACCGAAGTCTTTATCACCACATTACACATTGCACTATAATCCAGGATTTCATAATCCGTCTATACCAGGCGGTCAGAAAAGTGTACATAGATTACTAATACCACAACTGAAACAGTCAACATCTTTAACTGGTCTACCTCGGACGTATCAAAACCTAATCTGAATGACTACGACGAACCATACATAAGTCCTGAAAGTGACTGTGAAGCGAATGATGACTTCACTGTTTCAGATCATGAGATAAAGAAGAAGAAGACACAAATAACCGACAAATTCGTAAGTATTCGATTATTATTATTTATTTATAACATGCCTCTTGATAAAACAGCCAACGCATATTTTCATTTACGATGCCTGTTGTGAAATATGCGTAGGTTAGAAAAAGCTGAAATACCTGAACAACAAATTAAGTCACTGGTTACTCTTACAGAAGTGTCAACTTCTTGAATATAAAGCCCTTTCGATGTTATAAAACAATATGTAGAGGTGTTCTTTAACATTGCTTCTAAATAGACCACCTAGGTAATATTTATCGCTCGTTATAACCTAACTATAGTTCAGCTGGATTTTTAGCACAAGCACTTATCTACACAGCCAATATTAGATTCACCGATACAAACATACAAAATAATGTTGAAACTGTCATGAAAAGTAAAAGAAGTTTAAGCTACAACACAGTTACATCAAATAAAGTAAAGCATTTTTGATAGTATGACATATTTGCTTCAACTTGGATTTACAGCCACACTCTTCCCTATGTCACAACACCTCTCGATAAAAAGATAGTCGGATAGCGCCTTAAAGTAAAAAGGTGTGACAAAAACCGGATGCCAGTAGTTTTGTCTGTGTTGCAGAATCTAATCAAAGGTGATTTCATCAACACACTTTTGCAAATTTCTGAGTATTCTCCAGTTCCGCTTGAGGTGTGCTGCAATACGAACAAATATATTTTACTAATTAGCACTTCGGAGTAAGCATTAATCGTTATGAGCATTAAAAACTAAACTATTTTGTGAAATAAAGCTGCGGTGTACATTTTGATTGCTACCAGTTTAGAGTTTATCTGTAGTATTTTGGTATAAGATTTCCATTGGCTGGAATTTCATCAGTGAAAAAACTCTCTTCAATTTAGCCCTGTGGTAGTCTCACTATATTCTGTTTGTTAGCTGTCACATAGTGAAATTGCATAAATTTCACAGAATGATATACCTTTCATTTAAAAGCTGTTTATACATTAGTCTTCAGGGGGACCGACACTTCACTAGGCTTGTAAAAACAGAATGGTATACAATTTGATTCTGTTGTGCAGGCACACGGGTTCCCATACCTTAGTGACAAGAAAATAATGAGCGGTAGCCCATTCTTCAGGCGACGGCTGAAGAAAATCAATCTCAGTCTAACAGCGTAAAAGGTACTATTGATCCACTTTGATAGACGCGGCTTTTCAGCACTACGGCTGCAGTGTCCCCTTTGAATTCCAGATTCATGATTAAAATTTCCTCAGGAACTGTGATAGATTGATAGGTAATTTGTTTCTTTAGGTTTTTATCAATAAATCGTTTAGAGTATCCGTTATTCAATAGTGTTGTTCCAAGAGTTTTGATTTCAGCATCTACTGTGTCTTCTGAACAGATTTTATACATTCTAGAACACAGCGATGGAATGAGATTTCTTTTACAATTAAGACGTACTCGTTCATGAATAAATCGGCACATCTCGTCAGTTAAGTAGGTGATACTGTTTCATTGTGTGACACATCTAACAAACAGACTACAGTAGAATTTCCTCAGTTGGATGAATTAGAACGTTACCTACATTAAGAGTCCAGTAAAACGTAGAACTTCTCCAATGATGTCGCTCCATAATGAATACTACCTTGAAATTTAGAATTATTTGCGTCAGCACTTTTAGAGTCTTAGGAAACTGACCCCCTTTAATTACCTACAGCATGGATACGTTGACCTAGATGTTTGACAACCATTTTCTGAGTGATTATGTAATCGTAAATATTGAGAAATTGAACTCCAGCTGCGTAGATATACGTGGAACTATATCTCGTTTGCCTAAAGACTCGACTTTCAAGTATAGATCGTAGTTTCGTACACTACTCCCCTTACTAAAATTGAACAGCCTGATCGTGTCATCAACACACATAATCGATATGTCTTATGGTCTTGCGTAAAACACGAAGCTGGTTGCCATTCAATTATGGTACATTAATTATCAACTAAAAACACGTGTCAACAGCTCATGTACTCAGTCACTGAGGATATTTCTTCCTTAAAGGTCAAGAATATTACTAGTAGCTCTAATGGTTACAGTTTCAACTATTTTTTGAGTCAGGGCTCCTTTTGACTTCAGTAAGTGTCGATAAGGTTGACTGTCGTAAAAACGCGAGAGTGAAATCTGTCTGATTTGTGGATGTGAGACAACTGCCACGTAGAGGTTCTCTTGATAATCAGATTAAGAATTACTTGATCGTGAAGTGACTGTGAACTGATACCTTCACTGTGTTCACCAACGTTTTAGTTGTTACCGTACACATATTCTAAGTTAAAACATTGAAGTCCACCGTTTATATAAAGGCATGAAATTGATTTTTCTTTTGGTTAGTTGTTTTCTTTATTCTTTGCTTATTACTCCAAATAGACTTTTCAATGTCATTCTTCATTGTCGATTACAAATGGCTCAGAATCAAAGAGCAACTCAAGTTCAAAAGAGAGAAAAACGTATGATCAAAAATCAATCAGTTTAGATAAATTAAATCATTTAGATGATGAGCATATTTATGATACCGTACCGTCACCGTCTTCTTCATCATCAGTGTCAACTGAAGGACTGTCTTCTGTCAATAAGTTGAACAGGCTGGATAAATTGTCTTCTCAGTCAAATCAGGTAAGTGCTTTATTCACCAATAAAATAATACTACTGATTCGAAGCTCACTATGAGAATAGCATTCGAGTTTGAAGGTGAAACGTCAGCTAAGCAAGCTAGTCACTCATTAACGATAAAATCCTTGAAACTGCCAATCTAATAAGAAGATTTTTGTCATAATTTCACTACATCACGTTTAGTCATGAATAATAATAATGAATGTGTTGTAAAACACAGCAGCTAAGCAATGATAACTGTGACCTTGACAACAAATTAATCAGTGTTCTATGGCTCAAAATCCTATACTGTAGAGAATAACTTCTCATTTGTCGAATAGTTCGGATTAAAATCAGTTAGCCACTGTCAGCATATTGGCTCTTTTGTGAATGACTCGATATTACAAGTAATCGGTGGGAACAATAACAGACTGCTAAACAAGTAATATTCATATAAACAGTCCCAAATAAAACGAAATTGAAGTCAGACTCCTCTGTTACTCACTATTCATCAAAACTAAGACCACTTGATAATTTGTTCATAAGCAAGAGATTAGCTTTTCACACCAATCTAAATAACTTTCATTCTTTGCATATATATATTTGTCCTAGGTTTTGGGAGGGGTTGATTACAACAGATAACCGCCAGATGATTTCAGAGAAAAGGATTTCCTTCACAGAAGTATTTAAATGAAAAACTAACACTTAGAAAGGGTGTTGGTCTGAGATGATTTGAGTAGATACCCAAATGAATTAAAAATCATATCCATTGGTTAAATTCATCAGCCTAAAGATTATCTTCATCGGTGATGAACTTTCCTGAAGGAGATATTGGAATCAGCTGTCACCAGTTATTTAGATATTCTATAACATCAACGCATCTCACGTTCAATGCATAAACTCTAGGAGGTGAAGGCAATTCGGTTAGCATATAGCTTTTTAGCTGCTGTGGTTAAAATCTATTGTAACAGTTTTTACAGCAGTTAGTTTTTAGAGCGGTACAGTTTTTCTCTGAAAATTGTGTCGTTTTTATCAAAAAGCAAACATCTGCACGACATCAAATGCTTCACAGTTGTTCCCGAGAGATATAATTTTATGGTGAAAATCATCTTCCTAATGGTGCGTCTTCTTTAGACAGTTGCACACTCAATTATTTAATTGTGATAAATTTACTTGATTGTGGCCAGCAGAAGAATCCAGGGCGTGTGTTTCGTCCTATTTGGGACTCGTCAGCTGGATGTATCTACACCCCTGTGAGTGGTATTGTTCCCACTGAGACTAAAACCTTTCACCCACCGCTTCAAACACCAAGGCGTTATCTACTAGGTAAATCAAGTAAATTATCAAAACTAACATTCGGGCAATATAGAGGCATCCGCATAGGAAACCATATGTCAATAGAGGTCTAACAGTTCGATCCAATGAAACAACGGAGAATTACAAGCATATCAATAAATAGTAACAATTTATTTAAGTTTTCGAAAACTTGATGTTTTCATTGATTATTGAATAAAAGCACTTATGGGTGGACAGTATTCATTCAGTTGGCCGGCTCTGCTGATCGACCGATTTCCAAATTGCTATAATTTAGGATTGACATCAGCCAGCGATTGAATGATAATGCACTCTCTGTGAAACGTGATACATCTCAGTTCAGTATAGGTAATCTGATGATAGTCAGTAATACAACTCGCCTTGTTAACTAGTTCACTAGTTACTAGCGGGTCCTAAGCCCGGATAAAGAGGGAAGGTTGGGCATAGGACTAGCAACCCTACCCCATAAAACAAATCCAACTGCTAAAAAACTTCAAATCACAATCAAAATATAAAAATAAAAACAAAATTATTCCTCGCTGGAATCGGAGAGGCGAAATGATGCCGGTTGGTGAAAGCCTTCGGGAAGCCAATTGGCCGATGTGTCTTCTCTCCCTGGATGAAAGCGAAAGTAAACGTGGGGACATGAAATGTCCAAACCATGTTTGAACCTACCAAGGCAGCCCAGATTGCAAACGAGATGAGGTATCACATTGAAGTGCTTTGAATTTGCGAAAGCAGATGGAATGGGAGTGGACTCTCCAAACTGTCAACTGGAGAATCAATAATCTACTCCGATACCCTAACCCAGACGACAACCACGAGCACACTGAGTTATGGAGTGGCTATCATGATGTCCCCTTGAAGAGCATCGAAGGCTCTCATGCAGTGGGAACCAATCTCCTCCTGCAGGATCATGACAGCAAGATTCAACTCAAAAGGAAGGAAGGAAGGTCACAATCATTCAATACTACGCTATGCACCTACAAATAATGCAGAGCAAGAGAGAAAGGAGGAATTCTACAGACAACTGCAATCAACACTTAACAAGACCTCAGTTGGCGATATCAAAATTCTAATGGGTGGTGTGACATGAATGCCAAACTGGGAGGGGACAACACAGGAAGAGAACTAACCATGGGTCGAGAAGCACTCAGTGAGGTGATGAACGAGAATGGAGAATTGTTTGCAGAATTCTGTGCATTCAACGATTTGGTGATTGGAAGCGAGGCAGTGTGTCCAAGCACAAGGATATCCACGAAGTGACATGGATTTCACCAGATGGACACACTAAAAATCAAATCGACTTTATCTCAATCTCAAGAAAATGGAGACGCAGTCAGCCTACTTGACACAAGGTCAAGAAGAGGAGCAGATGTAGGTTCACACCACTCACTATCTAGTGCAAGGAACCTTCCAAATCAAGTTGAAAGCCTTCAAGGAAGCTGGTGATAGACCACAGTTCAAGTTCAACACTCGGAAACTGAAGGACGAAACTACAGAGGACATCTCCACATAAGCCATCAAGACAAAATGGGAGATGTCGAGGAACATCTCTGAAGAAACCTGTGTGGATGAGCACTGGAAGTCTTTGAAAGATATGTGGAAAGAAACCTGCATAACCAAGCATATTAGGAAGGAAGAAGATAAGGAATGGATCCCGATGGACACATGGAAGCTGATAGAGGAGGGGAGGAGGGTGAAGCAGAAGACAAACCAGTGCTAGGATGAACGACGAGAAGAGGAACTGAGTACAATGTATAAAACACTAAACTGGACAAAGAAGTTAAGAAGAGTGCACGGAAAGACAAAAGACACTTCCACGACACACTGGCAAGTGAAGCAGAACAGGCTGCTGGTAGGAGAGATAGAGACCTGACAACATTGTATCAAATAACCAGGTTACTTACTATCTGGGAAGAGATCAATACACATGAAGCCAATAAAAGATGGATAAGGAAATTTAATTACGAAAGAAGAGGAACAAAGGAAACAATGGACTGACCACTTCAAAAAGCTCTTGAATCGAACACCACCTGCATGCAACTCGTCCAGAAATACCACCTGCACCCCAGCCACAGAACTACCAGTGAACACAAATCCTCCAACAAAAGTCGAAGTCCTGAACGTCATAAAGCTACTGAAGTGTGGGAAAGCAGCAGGACCAGATGGAATCCCACCACAAGCACTGAGAGCAGACGCAGAGACAACAGCGGACATGCTCACACCACTATTGCAGAAGGTCTGGAAGGAAGTGAAGGTATTTGCTGATTGATTGGAAGAAGGGTTACCTTGTCAAACTCCCGAAGCAGGGCGACCTAAGTCTTTGCAATAACTGGTGTGGAATCATGCTCCTGTCCACCCAGAGCAAGCAACATATTAAGCCGCATCATTCTGGAGAGACTAAAGGATGCACTGGATTCAAAACTACGACCCGAACAGGCTGGCTGGCTGGATTCAGGAAGTACAAATCATGTGCGGACCAAATTGCAACGCTACACTACGCATCATCATAGAGCAAAGTATGGAATGGCAGTCAACTCAACTCTACCTCAACTTCATCGACTTTGAGAAGGCCTTTGACAGCGTCGACAGACAAGTAATTTGGCAGTTGCTTCAACACTACGGAATACCACAAACCTTTATCAGCCTCATTCAACAACTATATGAAGACACCACATACCAAGTAATTCACAATGGGAAGCTCAGTGATGCCTTTGCAGTGAAGTGAAGTGAGAAGTGAAGACAGGAGTGAAACAAGGCTGTCTACTATCACCCATGATATTCCTGATTATGGTCGACTGTATTATGCAACAAACAGTGAGGGGCGAGAAGAAGGGGATACGCTGGGCTACGGAAAAGAACCTAGAAGACTTGGATTTCGCCAATGATGACTTGTGTCGGATGTCGCATAAACTTGAAGATCTACAGGCGAAAACTAACAAGTTGACAGAAGACGTGAGGCAGCGAAGACGGGACTTCAAGTGAATATAGAGAAGACAGAGATGATGAAGATACCCAACCAACACCACCACCAACAACAAGCTCCAATCACCATCAATGGGAGAAACTTAAAGGAAGTAGCCTCCTTCACCTACACCTATCTAGGCGAGCATCATTTCAACTACAGGCGGCACAGGCACAGACGAGGACGTCAAAGTCAGAATCGGAAAAGCAAGACAGGCATTCATAAACATGAAACCAGTGTGGAGATGTTCTGCACTCAGCATAAAGCGTGAACAAGATCCGTATTTTCAACACGGACGTCAAATCAGTGCTTCTGTGTGATGGATGAGAGACTTGGCGCGTTACGAAAGGCATTTCCAATCAACTACAGACATTCATCAACAACTGCTTACGCTCGCTACTGAAGATCAGATGGCCAGAAAGAATAAGCAAGGAGGAACTCTGGAAACGATGGATGAGATGGATTGGGCATACACTGAGAAGGCCAACTGGAGGCATCACGCGTCAGACCAGTTACTCGAGTGGAACCCCGATGGGAAGCGACGAGTTGGGTGTCCCAGCTGAGGGTGACATGGAGGAGATCGTGCGAGGAGGAAATGAGAGCTTGTGGGCTGTCGTGGAGGCAGGTTCAAAAGATTTCAGAGAACAGAGTGCACTGGAGACGTGCTACTGAAGCCCTATATTCCATTAGGAACCCAAGGACAAATAATAATAATCTCTAAATGAAATAAGTTGTTTTAAAATACAGATAGAGACAAGTTTTGAGATAGTCAAAAGTACTTGTAGCTCAGGATGATGATTTTGATGATGTTGTGTTGTTGTAGATAGTTGATTTAATCGTTAAACTTTTATTTTCATTCTGGACTGAATTATTTGCATAAACTTGAGACAGAAGAAGGCTGTCGGAAATTCTCAAGAAGCAATTCAGTATTTTTCTCCGGTGACCTTGGATAAGATTGACCATTTATTTTATTCTGTTACTGTTGTCTGCATACTTATTTTGATTGGTTGTCTTATTGACGTGAACTCAACTGAGAAAAGTAATATATTGAATGAATCTGCAACCGTCTTTGTCTACACGGATATCAACTGAGAGTGAAGCGCCATATCATACAGCATGTCGCCGTCTGTAGACAAGAATTCAACTAGGGAAAATATAGAAATCTTGGTTATAGGAAATACAAAACATGCCAGAGTTCTTTATAAGCGTTGCGTTGAGATCAGTCATTCATGAATAGATAATATTAACAGTAATCCCATTGATCAACCAATAAGCAAATGATGTAGCACCAGTGAGGTCAGAGTTTTGGTCAGTAAGACAACCGATCAGAATATGTGTGCAAACAGGGATAACATAGTAACAGAAATATCCAGTCACATCCAACGTCATAAGGAGAAACTAGTAAATCACATGTGGAGAATTTATGATATCTCACTTCTTTGTGAATTAACTACAGATAATGATGTCTGGAGGGAAAACAAAAGCTTCGCGATTAAACTGATGATTTCAGGTTTACTGGTAAGATATAGTTAGGTATACTAGGCGTAGAATAATCCATAGATGGACTAGTTATTAAATTTACAATCTTCACTGAAACGAAGATTTTATCACTGAAAATTTCACAGAGTAACGATTTCATTTTGAAAAACTGTAAATCGTATTGATATATAAGTTGAAGCAGACAAATAATAAAAAAAATTGTTTGCGTTTAGTTTTTTTTTCTATAAGCGGAATCGTGAAGAGGAACCATAAATCATCGAATCAACTGGAGAATAATGTAGACTGAATAAGGATTGAAGATGCAAGACAAATGAGTGAATATGGTTTGAATAAGTTAAGAAGAGTTGATTTTTATGAAAATACGATCAGTGTGACTAGGAAGGCCTAATGTAATGATGAAATAGTACCCTGGATAGAGACAGTGGCATTTGCCAACTTGGGACATCTCTGGCGCTAGTGAAATGCTGGACCATCTATTAAAGGATGAATATACCACGCTGCAATTTATTCTGTCCTGTTACACGGTTGTGACACATTGCGCTTAAAAGTGGGAGATATGAAGCGGCTACAATTTTTTGATCTCAGATATCTTCATCGCATTACTTGCGTTTAGTGGAATCACTAAGCGAGCAATGCAGAGTTTAAGCGAAGGGTACTAAGCAAGAAAGCAAGTTAGTGATAATTTTGTTGGCCTTCATCGACTTAGGTGGTTTGGACATGTCGAGTCATCGCCTACCTCAATGTTAGTCAAAGTAGGGTTTGTTTGGAAGAAGGTTCAAGGTGGCCAGACTAAAAAGTAGCATGAGTGCACGAAGTCACTGGTTTCTGGTTTCAGCCATGTAGGGAGGTATAGACTACCTGGCTGCGTCACAGTGACGAAAGGAATCAGTGATTGAGGAGGACTCCTGGTGAAATGACTGAATGCTAGCGACAATGGAGCAGATGTATTCACTCTGCGACATCTTGTAAACCTTGAATGTTTTGACTAACTCTATTTTTTTAAATTCTCTCTGCTTCATACCCACTTGTCTACTTTGATATCAGTATTTTCCGGCCACTTGTTTTTGATATGCTACTGTGAAGTGTAACAACTTGAACTGATGCACCCGTATGCAAGGTCTACGTTGATTTAGTGTGTCCATCCGTTTGTTTATCTGTTTATCTATCAAATGTTTAATAGTATATCTACTGTTACACTCCAAAAAATGCAGTGTTTGCACGTTTTCCATAACGTTTCAATTTAATAGTGTATACTTTTTGGGACATTATCTTCCGGACATGAGGTGCAAAACAAAGAACTAAACTAAACTGTTTTTTCTCTCTATATGGACAAAACTGTGAAAACTTGTTGGTTACCTATTCCTTTTAGGTTTTCTATAGATTGATCTCCTCCAAGCTTCATCAGTTTCCCTAGTAGTCGATGCGTCAGCAAATGGAATTTTAGCATCTATTTCTTTTTCAAGGGTGAACTGAACAGACAAATCATCATTCCTAAATTTCTTCAACAAGCTTTTCAAAACACACATATGATAAACGTACCATCCATATAAATATTTTTTAGAAGTCGAGTTTGTATAAGATTATTATTTTTTAGCTTAACTAAAAAGAAACCAGCCAACGATGCACCAATTTAAATTCCATCGAGAAACCATTTCTGTCTCTAAATTCCATTGGTGAAAATGAGTTGGACATTTAAAATGCATCGAAGTATAACTTCCCTCATTTACTTTTTATTATTTATCCCTAGGGTTCCTAGTGGAACACAGGGCTTCAGTAACATATCACCATTTCACTGTCTTCTCTGCAGTCTTTTCAACCTGGCTACACGACTGCCAGAAGCTTTCATTTCTTCCACACACAATCTCCTCGATGTCACCCTCGTCTTGGACGCCCAACTCGTCATTTCCCATTTGGGTTCCACTTGACAGCCTGGCCTGACCTGGCGAGTGATTTCCCCAAACAGTTTTCTCAGTCTATGTTCAATCCATCTCCACTTTCATCTGCTGCATATTTGTTGGGTGATAGGTTTTTGGTTGGTTCGTTGTCACTAATTTTCCTCAAGTGGGATTTAAATATCCATACGTCTACACTGTATGAGTCATTACTGACAAACATGAAATACAGTGAATGGTTAAGAGCAATACTTGTAGACAAACAGCGAGCACCTTTCTAAAAAAAACAGTTTTTTACCAGCATTTAAATTATTAATGCAATTAATAAACTTGATGTATAATGAAGTGAGTTTTTGCATGTTTGCTTGACTGATGATTCTAAGAGTTCAGTCACACACTTAACAACCGAGTAATAGGAAGAACCAGTTAGGTCTAAAATGAGATGAATTGTTAGGACAGATTTTTAATTTTAGGTAGATCGTACACTTGATGAAATATAAATTCAATCACTTTTAATCAATTTTAGTACTGTCCCGGAGTGATTAGAGAGTTATCTCTCATTCGCTTCAGAACCTTTATGAGTTATATCATTGCAGTAGTCTGTTACGAAATGCATTCATGCAAACCTTAGCACATTGGTGCACAAGGTAAGCAATTAGACACACCTTCTATGTGACGATTAATGATACTACCTAGCTGTGCAAAACTCAACAGAAGGAGCGGGATTCGAACTCGTGACCCACTGGTTGTAAGCCAACTTCCCTAACTTAAAATTACAAGGAGATGACCAAAAGAAGATAATTCAAAGAATCATATGATTTTAAAAAATATTCAACGAAAATGTGTGTCGATTCCAGTATAATGAGAGCTGACGTCGAATGTTCTGACTTCATACACTGTAACAAGGTAGTTAAGAAGATAAAATAAGTCGTGAAAAAATACAAGACATAACAAAATAATAATCGTCCAGTTATTATAGAAGAATGGGTTCATATAGTATATGCAGATAACCTACTTCTAATAGTATGTACCATCAAGAAAGCAGCAAAACCTATACTATTTCATAGGGTTCTGACAAATAGTCAACGAATTCATGAACTAGTGATGAGTCCATTTTAAGGTTCATTTTACTTCTATAAGAAGTGGCTGACTGGAATCAAAGGTCTCATTTGTAAGCAAACTGGTGCTAAATATAAACAGTATTGACATTTGATGCAATGTTATATGATGACAGTAATGAATATTCTTAAATGCATAAATTTTAACCAAACTTTTCTGTTTTAATCACACAGGAATAATAGTTTCTGTTTCTTTCTTTCTTTTTCAATCTCATATTTGATTAGATACCCAATAATAACAATAACAATAATGATGAACTACTGACATCCTCAAGACATCAATCATTAAATACTGATAAAATAAATTCACTGCAAATCAACAATAGTGTAATGTTAGAATCAAAATTCAATGAACAAATCTCATCATCATCATCATCATTATCACCGACTTTATCAGTATCGTCGTCATCATCATCATTGTTGATGAACAAGTTGACATCTTCTGAAACTGTACAATATGATGAAATCAGTGAATTTAGTACAACAAAAAGTATCTCACCGAGATTATTCCCTAAACAAGTTACAACAGCAAATGTTGTACTAACGAAACCAAATATTATGTCTTCTTCATCAGTTGATTCAACCAAAATATCTAAGTTGACGACACATTTTCGTCCAAGAAGTAGTGTAAGCTTAGTTATTTCATAATGATATATATATATATATATATATATATATATTCACTGTTTATAATGATGAACAGGTTAGAAAAGACTACTAATATCTTGAAAATATGATGAATATAAACTGTTATATCCTTTTTAGTGACGATATAAACCCAGTTTCCTTTTGATGATTTATGTACATCCAATATCGAATAGGTTTTATCTCAGTATTTAGTCATTTAGCCTAGAAATGGTACATTAAATAAGGTATAGAGAGAATTAAGACAAGATTTATGGATAAACAACGGATTCTTAATTGCCCTCCAGTATTAAATCAGTGTTACTAGTCCAGTCCTGTGGAGAGTCATTCGCAGCCTGAAGCCTTCAGTGTTCATTTATCTAACCATGTAAGTGGTAATCTAATGATTTTCTAGGACCAATAATCTTTCGATATATATATATATATATATATATATATATATATATATATATATATATATATATATATATATATATATATAATATACTGCGAGTAGCCCTCATTATTAATCTAGTATGTACCTTAGGTGAGAAAAATAAAGTAAAACCAGAGATTGTTTACTTGGAAAATAACAATTTTTAGTGATAAAAATATTAAATGTACGAAAGATACCCATTAGAATACGAGAAGAGGAGAGTCGCCTTTCGGTGATTTCATTCTCAACGCTGTACAGTCACGAACTTGTACATTTCACTTGCATTGCAGTTTGAGAGTTAATAGTCGTTTGTCAAACATGGCAAGAAAAACTAGTTTCGATGCATGAGCAGTCATTCGTATTAAAAATTGTGATAAATAATGAAAATTGATCAGAATATGACAGAGGTCGTATAAAGATTACTAAGTTTAGATGAGAAGTTTTTGAATATAACAAAATATTGGAAAACTCAAATGTAGTCAAGAAGAAAATAGAAACAAGAATGAGTGGTAAATTACCTAAGAAGTCAACCATGTGCAAACAAAGAAGTGGTTTCACAGACTGAAAATTAAGACCATGAAAGGAGAAGAGGTTTAAAAATTATTTCTCGTACAAAATTCAGATTTCTCTATGTGGATGACAAGGATAACAGTTGTATCGAATAACCGATCAGGTGAATTAATATAATTACACATAAGAGCTCAAATGGGAAAAATCATCCTTCAAGTGGTCAGAATCACTGGGCGATGCAAAGAATGTTCTCCCTCCTCCTCTACAGAGTGTCAATGGCAGAATTCCCTTTAAAATTTAGATTCATATACTGCATATTTTTGCCATGATGGTAATGTTGTCTCTGCAGGGTTTTGGGTTAATATTTTTTTCTATAAAGGGTAATCTGAATGCATTTTTAATCGCAATTTTCCTTGGAACAGAAATTTCCTCTTCTAACTCATCAGGACTGCAGATTCGTCTAAAAGAGTGGCAAGAGATTTTGTTTGCTACTCATAGAGACCCAACTATGAAAGTTTGTCAGTTGACCATTCCACATCGACTGTTTGTAAATTGACCTTTTTGACGTTTCGATAGTTATTAATGTCAGTTCTACATTGAGAAAGCGGGATTTCGATCCATTGAGGCTCACAAGAGTGAACCCCATTGCTGAAGGGCAGCTATTGAATATCTGTAGAATATGATTCAAGTCACAATGACTATCGCAGATAATAACAGTATCGTCCACGTCCTTTTTGTATAGTTGAAAACCCGTAATCATTGATTCCAAGGGTTCATTCTCTAAACTGACCATTAAGGAGTCCGCTAGTAGTGGACCTAGTGGATAAATTTGCCATTATACAGCTTTGAAAATGAGGTTACCAAAAAGACTGCTGAAATATTTGTTCTTCCCTCAAAAATATCAAACGTCTCAAGAAAGTCATTTTGAAAACATCCTCTGTTTTCAGTATCACAATGTGGAGTGTTCGCGCCCGTTTTTCATTTCTACTCGATATTATGTCTTCTTCACTCCTGAATTTGAACCGTTCAGTCGTTATCACGTCTTGTGCTTTCTGGTGCTGTGCCATCCACTACTGATATACATCCTTTTAAATAGATTCAGCCTCACCTTCATCTTAAGGTTAAAGGATACAATGGTTAATGATTTAATACAAGGTCATCAAAAATTATCAACAGAATCACAATGCGACTATGGCTAGGAGAATGTCTTCTTTTCTGCCCAACTATGAACTGTCTTCTCCAGTCAATAAAACTATTGCTTTGGTCTTCTCCATATGTCTCCACCAATTCACTTGTGCCTGTGGAGCTGGTTACATAGGCCACACAAAGTGTGCTCTATCCAAACGCATCTCTGGACATTATTCTGCATAGCCGTCTAAACAGGAGTGAAAAGCAATTAGAAGCTCAATTCTTGAGCATCTGGTTAACCCTGGTCACTCTATTTCACTAGCATCTTCCTTTAAAGACATTTATGAAGTTAAATCAAACATTTCGATGGGATAAAAAGCAACAATCTGAACGGAGAATATTCTTTTCAATAAGTTCTCTTCAGGTTCTACAATTCTGAAATGCATTTGTATAGCGTAAAATGAAACCAAGTTAGGGGCACTTGCATTTTCAAAATGGAGTAAGATTTAGCGACTGTAAGAAAATCGTTTTTTCTTTTCTAAATTTTTCCATGTTGCAACGACCGACATATATACAGATGAATGATGTGATAGGGAAAAAAGATAACGAATTAAGATGGCAGAAGTGGCTTTTAGTTTACTGAAGACCAAGAAGGAGTAATGCTTCAACATGTTCTTTCTGAATGCATAGTACAGGTTCGATCAATCATATTTTGACAGCCTCTACTATGTTGGACAGGCGTTAGTGAGTTACACGTGGTATCATGTTTGGTGAAGAACACTGAAAGTGTTATTAGCATGTATGTGATGCCCTGTGTCTACTAGGTACACAAGGACTGAACTTTTCACTACTTTCACTCTGCCCTTTCCGAACTAATCTGGTAAATGCTTTCGTATCCAGTGGCACACCTGCTTAATAGTACATCTTATGTAACTAGTTCCACAGGAACAGCTGAAATGATACATACATGATGAAGAGCTGAGATTAGGTAGGCTATTCTTTAGTCTCGTATTGAACATTGTTTAACTACTGAAAGATATAAAAAGCCGACCTGCATAAATGGAGTGCGGATTCTTCACCTGAAAACAACAGAAGCCTTAGCAACTCATCAGTTTAAGCCGTTTCCATCCAGCCATCACCTTCTAATCATGTACGCAATTTTTGATGGCCTTGCATTGACCCATAAACCAATGATGGACACATATTGTTTTTGCAATTATAAATACAAATGTACAGCTGAAAGTGGTTCGTTGAAAAAAATTCTCTTCGCTGAATTACCTGTTGTTAATTTCTTGTCATCGAATCTTATATCAGTCCGGAAATTGCATTATTGTTGAAGTTTCGGTCTTTTGATGTTAAGCAGAAAGCGGTATTGATCACGGAGAGATATCAGTTGAGGGATCATTTAACACCTAGGAGCACTGGACAACTGTTTCATCCTATTACAGGACTCCTCAGCAGTGCGCACACATGAGCCCTGTTACACGTTGAACCCCGAATAGTAATGTCAACTCTGCCAATAAACATCCGCTCTTTCTGTTTGTAGCAGACAAATGTAATAATTGCAAGGAAAATGCTTTGGGCTTTCAATCATAACTTTCTAAGGATCCTGAAGCCCTTAGTCGTAATTATGTTCCTTCTGCACTGAAAGAACATGATATTGCTGTTGGCAGCATGCTTGACTGTGATCAAGAACTCAGTGGTGGTGGTGAACAACCCGATAAAAGGCACCTCGTCAGTTGCTGAGACAAATCTAAACATCCTAACTATATGGTGGTAATGCATGACAAGTATAAGGAAAGCCACTGTGTTAGAAAGCCCTGGTACTATACAAAATAACCATATCTGTTTAGAACATTAAGAAGGAGACGACAACTACTTTGAGTTCTTGAGTCAAGCAAAAGGTTTTTAATCAAGATGGTAGGTTTATAAGATGCTTACATAAATACGATGGCATTCAACGTAAATGGAAAGCAGAAGGTCGATAGTGACATCAAAATACTAAATTAGACAATTTTAGAAAACATGTACTCATCAAAAGTTCATTGACCGCTATGAGAGTTAGTTACAGTTGAAACACTTTTCTGCTTTGCACCAAGGAAAAGCGTTTCTTTGACAATGACATACAGAGATGACCTGAATTGTATAATTTTGACATTAAGGTCAATGTCAGGGATTAAAGGAACTCATTATATAGCCAAGTTTACCAAAACACCCGCTTCAGCGCAAGCTGCATAAGGCATAAACAATCACGTGAAAACCCACCATTTTTGCCAGTTTGTGCAGGTAGAACTAAATAATATATGGTCTTGAACTATTGAAACACACCCTAACAAATTTAAAAATGTATTCGCATTCTCAAGTTTCTATAAATGTAGTTGATAAGTAACCAACTTCATCCACTGTAGAACACAAAATAAATATTGGTCAAAGGATTAGTAATAAATTAACCTTGAAGACTGTATCGAATGTGTCAGGTGGTGCACAATTAAATTTGATGAAGCACTAGTCATATATAAACTTACAGCTGGCTTGTGTTTTCAAAGGCTTTCTTCTTAAAAGTGAACGTATCGTGGTCACCTCTGTCTTATCACATTTCTATGATCCATCCCAAAACTTATTATTCTTCTCTTGTTACCTGTATTGTTCTTATATTCCTTAGTAATAAATTATTTTTTATTCAACCTTCGCCTATTTCCACTCCTCATATGAAATGAAAGGTATGCTGGAGCGCTTTTTTCAGATGTACCACCTGAAAAACGACATTGCTTTCAGTGCACATTTTATTCAATGTGCTGATCGTGTATACATCAGCTAATTGAATACAAATCCAATAAGTACAGAAGTATACAACTGTTTTTGCTAAGGGGGATATTTTACAATGAACTAGGTAAAAACGAAACTGGATATCTACATATTTGCATACTTCATCAAAAGATTATCCTGATAAATTCAAGATTCTAATGCTTATTACTGACTTTAATTTTTATACTTTTCTACAAACAGAGTCGTGAAAACACGTTTGACAGGAATGTAAACGGATATCACTTCTCATTTGGAGTGGCAAATACGGTCAAGGTGAACCCTTCACATTGTTTTCCCAATCATTCATCTAACAAGATTGTTGGTAGTGTTGGCAATGACAGTGTTAACTCAGTGTATGATACACAAATGTATAGAAGGAACGCATCAACTGAACAATTAAGCAGCCATTCTTCGAATTCAAACAGTAATATACAAGAACTTGAAGGCAGCTGTTCTCCTCATCTAAACACGAATAATAATAATGAACAACCATCCGAATTAGCTATAGAAGTAGCACGTCTACGTCATGAATTACTTCTCTCACGTAAAGATGCTATGCGTGCTGCTGATCGTTTAAGTAAGCAAGAGACAGAAATCTACCAACTTCGTCAATTATTGGAACAATTAAGTGGTGTCAATAGTAATGATAATTCATCAGTTAATTTGAAAGCTCAAAACGCGATTACTAGTCAACCATCAGTTCATTCTAATGTAAATTTGCATACAAACCAACTGAACAACACGTATACCAATGGTATTCGTTCAGCAGATTCTAGAAAGCCAACTATTGTCGGTGTTTCTAGTTGCCTACAGAATTCAATGAATACAGACTCCAAAGTTGTAGATACTGTAACTGCTACATTCAAAGAATTAGATGATGCTATGGCAAGGTAATTCATCATTTTTATTATCTATATACTCTGTTTTCTTCTGCTTTCTATAAATAATGGCGAATAATATGAGGTTTGAAAATTTGATGAACAAATCTTAGTAAGTCAAATAAAACAGACAGAGAATCATAGAACGTCAGAGAACAGGCGAACTTATTAAAAGTTGCAGTGATTTACAACAGCCGAGGAAGAAAGTCGCTAGAAGTCAAAATTTGTGAAACGGGAAAAACTAGAAAACTCTTAGGTGAGGTGAAATGAATGAAAACGACCATTTCTAGTTATGTACCGCAGACCCCTATGGAGCTGAATCAAGCAGCCTACACCTAAGTACAAAACTTAAACAGGCAGTTAGTGACCTCATGTTAGTCTAGATCACCGTTAGGCTTCTACCAATTTATCCTACTTACACGAATATGTTGAATGAAAGGATGGTTGATAGCTTAGTACGGATAACATATATGCTGGCCAAATCGGTTGGTAAAAGTTCACTCACCACCCCATTGTTTCATTGACCTCCCTTGCGCAGTCTTTGTAATTAAGTTCAACATTGCTCATACCCCAGTCCAATGATATGACAAGTCATATTTTAAAGACATGTATGGTAGAATCCTCTTAACCTGTTTAAGTTATCAACCCCTCATAGTTCTGAAATACATCTGAGAAATGCAGTACAGATAAAATTTGGACTTCAGTCAAGATGAATGTGCTATGAAAGTATTACAACTACTTATTTGACATTTAGGAACCAGCAGGTTTATAAGAAATATGATAAACAGATTCGTTTTGAATTTCCATATATTTTCATGTTACTTCATGACAAATCGAACTGACTTTCCAAGTCATTTACCTTAAGGTTTTTCCTTTACAATCTCAACAGTATAGGTTATTTTCGCCTTGGACAGAGATATGTGGAAGGTCATCCAACACATGAACGAACGATAGAGAACAGTATGAGCTTAATGCTGTCTACGTACACAAAAGCAGGATCAGTAGAAAAAATCAATGAATGGAGAAATTTTTCCTAGAAAAATGTATCGAAAAAGATTATATATATATATATATATATATATATATATATATATATATATATATATATATATATATATCACATAACCAGAGCTAGATAATAAGCTATCTCAGAAAAGATATAAGCTGAGTATTGAGTTATGTTATCTAGAGTTCCCATTATATCCTCTTGAAGGCTGTTGTCTGTGTGATGATAGTATTTTACAAACACACTAAATTATGATTCTTTCAACATAATGATTGGTAAATACTTGGAAATATTTTCTCATTCTGACTGAATTGTAAAGTTGTTTATCGATGAAAATTACTTTTTGTTTTGGAGATGAGGAATTTCCTCAAATTTAAACGATTCAACTACTCTTATTGGTATATTGAATGACTTGCTTCTTGAAGTTGAATATACTTTTGATGAGTCCGAAGGAAAGTTGTATACAGATGAAAAACAGTTTTTACAACCACGTGAGAACATAAGAGAAGTGCATGCTGAAAGTAAACAAACAACTTGTTTGAGTGCATGTGGTGTCAGTGATCTGTTCTTGTATGCATTTTTCGCATAAAGGGAATAACAATCAAGTCATTTTTGCTTGGATTCGATAAGCATACCTTATATATAAATTAAGTCACTTATTTAGAGTATCTCATCCATCGCTTTATGCTATTAAGGAGTGTGTATTCTGAACACTCGAGACAAGATTATCTGCACAGATTGTAGCTGTTACAACTTAAGTTACTCTGTCTACCTACCGATCAATCATTAGATGATTAATAGCAGTGATACATAGTGTCCAGCAGTCGAATCCAGGATGCGCGTCTCGTCCTCTTCTGGACTCATCAAGTGGATGTACCAACTTCCCAGTGAATGTTGTTCCCACTAGGACTCGAGCCCAAGACCTATCGCTCCAAAGGCCAGAGGGTTAACCACTAGAGCACTCACTCACGATAACTGCCGCTTGTGTGACGAGTATAGCTTTGACGTCATTGCTTGTAATTTCCCGTCGTTGGTTGGACCTGTCTGTATCAGCATGTGGGCCCGCTTCAGCCTGTCGTTTCAGTTTGATAGTAATGGTGAAAAGTGGCTCGGAGTAGAATCCAGGAGCGGCTGTCGTGACTGAGTGGCCTAGTGGTTAACGCTCTGATGTTTGAGGCGATCAGCCATGGGTTTTAGTCTTAATGGGAACAACATCACTCACTGGGAGGTACGTATGTCCAGCTGACGAGAACCGGATAGGTGGAAACGTGCGTTCTAGATTCAACGGCTACCTACTGCTCATCATTACTACCAAACTGAAACTATAGCAATATCGAGGCATGCATGCAGGAGCCTACAGACCAATCATTTCGGTCTAATCAACGACAGGAAATCACAAACAATGACATCATCAGATAATTAGTCCAAATCCTTCCTCCCTGCTGTGTGGTAGACATCTTCGAGTATGCAGAACTGCAAAAGGTTGTCTAGTTTCTCATGAGTAGTAAGAATTACATTACCAAAACACTGTGTTCCTTAAATTCATTCAGTTTCTTTTAGAATGAAATCTGACATTAAGGATCCGTGAACACTCGGATAGAAATATAACTTTTTCTAATAATAATATCGAAATTTTAACATTTTTCATCCGAACAATTTGCGTTAAATTTTTCGATAATAATTTAGACTAGAATTAGAGCAAACTGAACTGTTACGTGAACAAGCTCGAATTCGTGCTCGAATAGCTGCAACACACCGTGCACAGTCCATTGTAAATTCTACTTCACCTCCTTCAAATAAATCTACTTCTCGTCCAAAACACTTTGAAATGTCTATACCGAAAATTTCAATCAACTCTAGACATCATCATGAATTACGCAGTCCTGGTCACATGGATTACTCGAATTCTCAGCGTATTATCCGTCATATGAATAAAATACACAGTGAAGTGAAAAATATACCGAAATAACCTGTTCCCTATTAGTAATACAATCATCTTCATCTCACTTAAGAGGGTAGTAAAAGCATTTACTTTCACGCACACAAACAGTAATGGAAAATCCGACCGTTTATCTTTCCCAAATGATGCATTTTCTTCGATTAATCTCAGCCTTTGGGAGTTTTGCCTTCACCTGAATATTCATTTCTTCGTCAGTGTTTAGTGTTGTTGTTCCTTTACAATATGAAGTTAACTTTTTTTGTAGAGATCCTTTTATTATGATTTCATTGTCTTCTTCATTTCATCACTGATTGTATTTCAGATATACGCTTGTTATATATATATATATATATATATATAGACATGGGTATTACGAGATATCACTCCTATTTTGTTTGACCTAAATTGTCTTTCTATGAACCGAAAGTAAACTGTCTTTTCTTTCAGAAATAATTATGCCTAAAAGATTCTGCTTCTGGTTGTTTGTGCTTTGTAATTTTATGTTTGCTCGTTATGTGATATATGAGTATCCTAGCTGTAAACTTTGGGAGCATTTTGTCTACTTGTGAGTAGTTATAATATAAATATCTTTGCCTACTGAACGAATATGCATAAGTTGACGAGTGCATTCCAACTTCTTCCATCAGTCATGGTAAAAAAAACACACTGATAGTAATACTTCACACACCTTCTAAAAGTTGAATTTCATACCTAAACACAAACTGGTCTTGTGCTGTTTAAATGAAGTAAAGATTCAAATGTCTCTATTATCTTGGAATTCCAAGTTTAAGATTCTAGAAGTAGAGAAAGGCTATAATATGGATAAGTTGTTAGGAAATAATGAGGAATGTAGATTTGGAGGATACATCAAGAAAACTATGCTAACAAGTTATCACCCCATTTTCGATCTCCTCAAACCATCCACTCATCGTTTAGACTAAAATTAACTGACACACTAACAAAATCAATGTGGAACATCGCACACAAGGGCATCAGTTCATGTTGCCATACTTCACAGTAGCACGAAAGAACAAAGGGATAGAATCGGAGTGATATCAAAGTAGACAAAGTTACCTGACAGAATAAGTTTTAAGATAACGGTTAGGGTAAATGTTCAAGCTTTAGAAGGTGCTAGAGTGAACAAATCTGCGCCATTGTGACCGATTTTCAGCCATCACCAGGCGTCCTCAACCACTGATTCCTATCGTCTCCAGCACCCCAAACAGACAGCCTATATCTCTCTCCACACGACTCAGACACTGACTGGTGCCACGTCTTGGTCTGGCTACCCTGAACTGTCTTCCAACCTAATCCAACTTCCCCCAGCATGGCACGCTGTGATAGGGAGTGGCTCGGTATGAGCATCACATGTCCAAGCCATCTCAGTTAATTAAGGTTCATAACCTCATCAATCGACCTGACTTTCTTGCTTCACACGGTGATTCCTTCAAACTTGAGGAATGCTACAAAAACATCTGTGATCAACCACCTGTAACTGCTTATTGTCTTCCATTTTTAACAGCTATATCTTACAACCATTCAAAAGGACAGGTCGAACTGCAGAGCAGCATACTCGTCATTTAACAGATAATCGGATATCTCACCGGCGTCACAGGTTTGTAAATGCCAAACAGACCTTCTAAATCCGAGCTCAGATTTCACTGGGCTGACACAACTCTTCAAGTAAGTGAAGTGGTCGACATATTCGTCCACTTCACGCCCTATCATCAAACTGGGAATGGTTGCAGACCAGTCCTGCTATAATTAGTGATTTCCTATTTGTTGGCCTTCTTTATCACCTATATCGCATAGAACAAAACACACTGTGACACTACTGCCACGCGAAAATCAACCAACTGGATCATCTGATTGTCACTCTTCAAATTTACGAAGTTAGTTGATACATGTATATTTTCAATGTAAAACGTTGGTAGAGCGCTGAGCCAATAATCTGGAGACCACGGGTTCGAATCCTCACACGACTCAAATTTCCATCTCACCTTCAATCATCACCCAGTATCAATAAAATATATTTATTTGTAGGTTAGGCATGATAACTTTGTTGAAACTATGCAATTCTTCGTTCAGTCAGTGCTTTCCGAGAATACAATCGGTGTCTTTCATTTTATGCTTGATCCGTTGTTAAAAATTGACATACAATTGTGAACAGATTTTTATTTAATTCTAAAATACAAAATCAAAAATACCCTTAAGATGAGTGTTAATCGAACCAGTTGAAAAGTATTCATAGACTAAATAAAGATAAGCAACAAATTGCTGAATGCTTCAAATATCACCTTCCACAGACGTGAACAATTAAAACGTCTCCAGATTAGTTAGAATAACTGTTTCATTGGTTGACAGATATAATAAATATTAGCTGCATAATCATTAGGATATTGATAGTTAGCAAGTTAATAAAAAGATTATCTTTTAGTAAGAAGCAACAACGCACATAACAATACTCGGCATTTGGAAACAGATGGAATTTAATATCTTCATATCTCAAGGTTTTCATATAATAGTCTTTATCTGTGTAAAAGAAAAGAAATTGGAAAAGTATTGCGTAATATGTGGCGAATACTGATGAAATACCACCTGGGTGTCTTCATAATATAAAATAGTATATGAATATGAACATTAATCATTAGATTGACAAAAAGATAAAGAATTTTCCACTACACTTTATATATCTAGAGAAGGAGAAAATACAGACAAAATGTATGGTACATTTAGTGGCTTCACTGACCAGCTTAAATGACAAGCTATAGAGCATTTGTGATAAATTCATAGGATAAACCTCTTCATGTATCATTTTAAATCAATAAACTGTTATATACAGTTGTTTATGTGTCCACCAAGGATGCTTGCTGTCACAGTCCTGGTTCAATTTAGTTATAGATGTACTAATGGACATAACCTTAAGTACGTCTAACTTCATAGGGATTGACCTACTCCCTATTAGTTATCTGGTTGAATTAGAGTACGCAGACAGTATTGTCCTATTGGGTGGAGATGCTGACAAAATGTAGGGTCTTCTGAATGCGTTGAGCAGAAATCTGTGCATGTTTGGCATGCTTTTACACCTGTTAAATGTAAGGTCTGCTACAAGTACCCTCGGCTTAATGATAGGGAGTGAAATGGTGGAGTGTGTGGATCACTTCACTTACTTGGGGAGTTGCATCAACTCGAATAAGCTGGTCACTGATGAAATCTCAGCTGGGATACAGAAGGCTCGTTTGACATTTTCTAACTTGTGTCATCTCTGGCCCTAGTGAGATGCTCTACTACTTATTAGAGGAGTATACTATGCTGCAGCCTGTCATATCCTGTTATACGGCTGTGAGACATGACCGTAAAAAGTGGAAGATATAAAATGATTACAGAGTTATGATCACGAGGATCCTCGTTGCATACGGTGGGTATAGTACACCTTCACTGACTAAGATGGTTTGAACATGTATTGTACATACTGAGTCACCACCTACCTCGACATGAAATGCTAGAAGTCAAAGTAGGTTGGAAGAGGGTTCAGGGTGACCAGACTAAGATGTGACATTAGTCTATGAAGTCGCTGACTGGTGGTCTGTGCCGTGTGGGGGAGATGTAGACTATTTAGTTGGGGTCACAGAGACGATAGGAATCAGTGGTTGAGGACTCTTGGCGAAATGATTGAAAATCGATCACTCTTTGACGTCGTCTAAAACTTGGATATTTTGATTAACCGTCATCATTTCGAACTATTTCTCCTCCCATACACCTGTGTACTTTGATATCATTCATTTTCTATCCACTTGTTCTTTTCTATACTACTATAAAGTTTGCCGACTCGGACCAATGCACTTATATGTGTCTAGTCACCGTCTGCCTCTTCACACAATGTTGGCCGAAGTAGGTCCAGGCTGGAAAAAGGCCCGAGGTGGCCAGACTAAAACATGGAACCAATGTAGGATGTCTTTGACTATTGGTTTGAGCCATGTGGGGCGATGCAAACTAGGTGGTTGGGATCCGTGGGACAAGGGAAACCAGTGGTTGGAGACTGAAAGCGATATGGCTCAGAACCAATGTCAGTGGCACAGATGTATACCACACATTATCCTCATCCTAACGACGCTATAGCGAATCTCACTGTTTTCTCATTCTTTCTTTCTCTCTTTTAGCACTTTATATTTCTTTTGACTGAATCTTCTTTTGTTCATCTTCCACTTCATAGCCTTTCTATTTGATGTACTGATATGAGGTGTGACAACTCGAACCGTTACGCAGTAATGCCTGGTCCTATGTTAATTTGGATAGATGTTGATGATGTGTGTGAGGTTTTATATTAGCTTTGTCCGTCTTGTCTAGTTGTTTGTACAAAAAAGTGATATGTTTCAATGCTATAAACTGTCATAAAGTGTATTCAAAAGAACAACTACTTACATCAGTTGGTGTACAATAAAAGAAATGAACATTCATCATACATCGCCAATCAACAGCATGTTAAGAGAAAAAGATCAGATTCTACATCAATTTAGTTTCTCTAAAAAAGATTCGTAGCTGTCACACAAGTTAATGTTATGAAGTTATTTAACAGTTGACATCAGGTTGGTAACTCTTTATAAATCTGTTTTGACAAAAGAATGAAGAAGTCAATGGATCGCGAAAAATAAACAGTCTAAAAGAAGATAAGGGAAGATGACGAATAATATGTCCATGATGCTTGCAAATGATAGATAGACAGACATATCAATGTAGAACCTCGCAAACAAATCCATCGGTTCAAGTTGCCACACTACACAAAAGTGCTCATAGAAACAAATGAAGCGAAAAAATGATATATCAAAGAAGATAAAGGTATATGGAAGGAGAGAGAAATTTAAAACAATAAAGTTTAGTAAAAATCTTCAAGCTTCATAAGACGTCGGGGAGTGGATACATCTCCATCATTGTGACCGATTATCAACCATATCACTAAGAGTCTCCAACCATTGATTCCAATGATCTTGATGACTCCAGCCAGGTAGTCTACACCTCCCAACACGTCCTAAATCAAGAGTCAGAGACTTCATGAAGTGGTGCCAAGTCTTGGTCTGACTACTTTGAGCATTTATTCAACCTAACTCAACATCGGCTAACACTGAAAGTCAACGTAGGTGGTGCATCAGCATGTATAACACATGTCCAAGCCATCCCAGCCACTGAAGGTTCGAAATCTCATTCGCTGAATTCCCTTCCTTGCAAAGTATCCTACGGCTAAACTCGACATTTCTCATGTGGTGTTCCTACCATATGTGAGTAGTGAGTCCTACTGAGAAACCTGAGGTTATGTTTCATAGCCGTATAACAGGATACTGCAAGCTATCGTATCATATGCTCATCCTTTAAAAAGAAGCCAAATGCCTAGATGTTAAGCCATTGAACAGTTCATACTCCAACATTCTGATAAACAATTTTACAATCAATTCTCTCATTCGTAATTTGATAAACCATGACTAACACCAAGGAATTGATGGTTACGTCACTTGCCACTGGGAGATCAGTTTGTAAATCCATCTGTTAGTTGATATATACTAAAAGACAGAGAGTATATGAATCAGGAGTAGAGTTTCGATTCATTGCTTTAGGAAGTTAACTTTCGATTAGTGGGTCAAAGGTTCGAACACCACTCCATCTACCGAGGTTTAGGCAGTCAGGTAGTATCACTAACCTTCACACAATAGGTCTGGCTCATTGTCTACTGCAAGAATGTGCGCAAGGTTGACTTTGTCAACCCTTCGTATATGAATTAAAATGACTTCCAATAAACTAAGATACTTAATCCATTTGATACAACGACAAATGATGGAAAATATTTGTAGCTCCTAGAAAATACCCTGAGCGCATAGAATGGGTATTCAAAACAGTGTATACTTGGGGAAAAAACACGATATTTGGTCGATATGCAAAGACAAGACGACGAGTTCACTTAAACCCATTCTTAAAACGTTACCGATACAAAGGACTTTAAACTGAAACAACAAAAAAGACATTCAACTCACCATATAATGATTTCATCTCTTCATCCGTTGAACTACATGGTGCAGTTTTGTGAACACCAGGTGGATAATTCAAAGTTTCCTGTAACCACCGAACGTCTGCAGTTGATAACTTTGTGAGTAAAGTCACATAACTGTAGAAACAGTAACAAAACCTTAAAGTAACGTGTATCACCACTTACATAACATGCAACAAGGGATCAAATCCTTTTAGAAGGAAATCGCCTTAACACTAATATATCAACCGAAAAATAGAAAACATGAATATCATATAAGTATTATCGGCCGCATTATTTTATTTACTTCAAAAGGTGTTTAACATAAGACTTAATCGACATCACTATTGTATAGCCCGACTCGAGAGCTTTCGACCGACCTCTCATTCATTTCCTGATGACCTATAGCACGCAATAATAATTGCATGTTAAGTGAAATCAATTGCTGTGAATCACCTCATTTTCTGTGCACGAAATTGGTTGTGGACAGGAAACCCAGTTGTATGTACAGATGATTCAGTGTGACCAAAATATACGGACACAAGAAGTTGTGTTCTGTTGTACGAAGCTAAAATGGTTAAATGGCGTGAATCATCGAGTGGGTGAATTAAACACACGAGAAGTGGCAAGTATGTGAGATTATTCACGTGCAAGATCAGGGCCAGAATTCGATGAGATCTCCTGATCGACACAATTATTACTAGGTAGAAACATAACAAGAAGAATGAACCTTCCCCGGTTGGCAGTTGGGAAGCGTTGATCACCCTCACATTTGTCAGCACTCAAACCCGCTTTGATTATTATTGACCACGTCTTTGTCTCTTAAACTTTCTTCATGGCTGACGGTCAATATTCCTACTTCATCTTTCATTAGTTCCATTTATTCAGCCCTTAATAACGATTAGAGCTCATGGAACGGTCAGTCTAATCTCATTAAACCGCACTCCATATCGCACACAGAAGCTTTCAATGTCTGCAAGTAAGCTGTAAGCTCAGCAACTTAAATACGTTTAACTAGAGCCAATACCGTTATATATATGCCATTATAGTTTTATCTACCTTATCCCAGTAAGATAGAAACACTACGTATAATGTCACATATCATCTTGCCACTATTTTACTCCCGAAAACTCCACCATGATGTCAGACTAAGGTGGGGAACCTTTGTCAGGAAAACATCAATCACCTCTGGAAAAATAATTATTTCTACGTATCACTGAGGTACAAGTAAGATGTGTTACGTCATTCGCCTCATAAATATGTAGGTAAATGTGAAAAGATTACTCTTTCTGGTGTTATATTCCCTGTGCTGACCATTTTAATCGCATTTATTTCATTACCATGCGGAAAAATATCATCAGCACAGACTTCAGGAAGAAGTGAGCAATGACATTTTCTCCACAAGTGGCTTCGTAGTTTGTCATGATGACCTAAGGTGATCGGATGTTTCTCTTACATTGTAGCCTCTACAAGTATTTTGACCATTTAACCTGCTGACGTGAACTATGACCTTCTTGTTGTTCCATGTCTTTCATATTGGTTGATACATCGAGTCAATGTCAATATGTCTGTTGATAGGTGACTGGACTGACCTGAGCGTCAAGCTTCTAAAAAATTGTCTAAAATGAAATGGTGAGGAATATTTGTAGCTCAAGCGGATGGTCTTGGCTGTGTTGTGTTCTTTACAGCTGGGTCGTTAAATCGTGAAGCTTTAATTGCCTTTCTATACAACACTGTCAGCACCAACTTCAGTATTTTTTGATGAGTGGTCCAGTGGCTTGTTCCGACGAACTGGTTTCTGATTGGTTGCTTTCTTTGGTTATTGTGCTATTGACCGCATAGATTTCCTTGTTGGATGTTCTTCTGTTTAACCTCTGACCTTTCCGTTGTTTATCATTATTCTTGTTGGTTGGTAGATTGGGTCGATGTCTATAAATCTATTGATTGCTGATTGACCTGAATGGCAAGCTTCTAGGAATTCTCTGATATTTTTGTGTTTCCTCTGTCCAGTATCTCTACATTTCCAAAGTTAAATTCATGTCTATAGTTGTCTATGCACATTGATATGAGCGACGAAATGTCGTGGAGTTCAGTAACCAAGGCGAAGACAGCAATCTCTTTGTGCAAAGTAGTGATGGTCGCAATCGTTGCAGTTAATTTTGTAAATAATGTTTAGTTTGTTTTCCTTGACTGTTACGTCCTTTGTTTTAATACATCCCTTATGTATGCTAGGATGATCCGGTAGCTGATTTCGATGGATGACTTTGTAGCCGATGATGTATTGAATGGGGGTCTAATCGAGTGTCATGGGTAACCATTCTTCTACAGGACAGAAACCAAGTATTTTTTTTCGTTTCTCCGTGAAGTTGTTGTATTGCAATGTGAATACATAAATTTAGTCAATCAACCCATTAAAAAAGTGATAAGCGACTTCAAGGTCAGAGTAAAGGCAGAGAGATAGTCAACGGGAAAATCTAGACAATTAATGACACCACAATCAAATGAAACTATTAATCATACACCACTTCGTTGGGTCAAGCAGCTGAATCATTCATAACGAAATCCTGCTAGCTCACTTCATGCTGAAGTTGGACTGATGATATTGTCCAGAAAGACAATGAAAGCTTCACGATTTAACGACCTAGCTAAGAGAACGTAACGCAACCAAAGTTCTTTCACATTGTACAGATTTCTTCTAATCAAGATCTACACATTTTCCTAATCAATTTCATAACCACAATTGTTTGTAAGCATTGATATGAGCGAAGAAATACCGTGACGCTTCAATGTTACTTGATGTTTTATTTGGACGGATACGAAGAGGGTGGTTACTCTTTCCGATAAAGTATTTTTCACAATTTTCCTAGCTTGTTTTGTAAATAACTTTGAACTTGCCTTTCTTGTATCTTTTGTCCTACATTATATGAAGTTGAGAGACTGTGTAGGCTTTTGAGCTATAATAATTCCGAAAGACTTCAGCATCCTACTTGCTATCTCAAGGATATTCTTCATGTAAAGTAAGCCAAGCCGTCTGTTCGTTTCCAGGAACAATTCTTTTGATGGTGAATATGACAAAAATCTTTTGAAGTTCCTTGGTTAGCCGTTCTTTCGAAAGACAGTCATTTCTGTTTAGCGAAACAAATCAAAGATCTCCTTTTGAGTTCCTGCAAACGTCTAACACAAAACTTTGTACACTTATTAATTCTGCCTTGAATGGGATATAAGACGTTTTAACAGTATTTTTCTAAATTGTAATGAGAACATGCGTGATTAACCAAGATGAATTATTAAACAGTGGATGCTTTTAGTAAAACGAATAAGTTAAAAAGCGTGGGAATTCCCCACATTTTTACTTTACTTACTCAGTTCTTAAATTTGGAGGAAGAGCTACGAATGATCCTCGATCCCATATCATATTGTACAGTTCTTCAGGAGCGCTGAACATCAAAAATAAAAGGTCGAATTGATGCAAACTTTGCGTACAATAGTCATATAAAGAGATTTAGGTGAAATCGGGTTTGTGGAAAACACCACTATCTTCTAGTAAAAGCATTTCCTGTCAAAGTTCAATGTTTTTTTCTATCTGTATGTCTAAGTTCAAGCAACTGAAATACGACTTTCCTCCGTGACTCACCATAAATATCTCATGTACTGGTAGGTAACAATTATGATACATTTACTCCCCATGAATTACCTGCAGTATTCGCTAAGGGTCATAAGCTAAAGAAGTCCCTTTGAATGTCCAACCACAGCTAGTAAGATATAATAATAGCTTTCGACACGATGCGCACTATTCGCACCGACAAACCCTTTCCACCCTTATTTTTGTACATCGAAATAACCTATTATTACTTCATGTTTCAGGATTGGTCGCCTTTATAGAATAGGCAGTATAACTTTGCTGCACTAAATGTTCTTAAGGCATTTCTCAAGCACTATATCACGATCCCGATGATGCCACTCCAAACCCTCAGTTTTAGGAACAACGATCACTTGAAAGTTGGTACTCTGAATCTTAGTATTAGACATGGATATACAATACTACTGAAAGCAGATCACAGATAATCTTGAGTTCTTCATTGAAATTAACGTCTACGTAGATAACTCTTGCCTGGTGAATCAAACACCTCACTGAATTCCGTTTATCTTGCAAGAAAACAAAACTCAAAAAATGAGTATATTGACTAGATGATATTGGTTTTTTAAATGCACTTCACTTTAGAGTTCTATCCCTTCATTTGTCAATAAAACATTTAAGATGATACTATCGCCATTTGTGATCGCTGGGTAGACACTATTTATCAGACTCATCGAGTACAATACTCACGTAGTTCTCGTTTTTCAAATTAAAGGAAGCATTACGTGCATAGTGGTAGTGAAACTCTAATTCCCGTATTATGCCTAACAAGGGACCATTCATTAATTTTGCTACAAAAAAATCTGCTAGGATTCGACCCAGTGATAATACCAAAGCAACATTGTCTGTAGAAATCCTTGTTGAAAAGAAAGTGTACATTCAATACACGTGTTAACGCACTTCCAAAAGAGATAACAAAATTCTGATTTCTACATTTCTCTTCATCAGTTCGCCACATTTGGGGTCCATTGTTCCAATCAATAGTATATTAGTAAACTGGGATGCTGAAAGGTATCCTCAACATTACACTTAGCAAAGTTTGTAAGAGCTGCCACTAACCCTTTCACATGTACTCTTACTGTGGTTCTACTTTCCCAAACTAGAATAATTTGAGTGGACATATTCCATTATGAGTGACTTTCAAGGGGATCCTAGCAACTGCTGAAATAACCAATCAGATTTCAGTATTTCGACTGCGAAGATAATTTTCTATGAAAAAAATGTAACTCGCTATCCCAGTTGTAGTTAGGGTGGTTTAAAGTCACTCATCGATTGTTCTTTGTGCCTTGCTTTGGCATTTAGAAGTAGTAATCAGATCACACTATTGAATGTCTGCCTACACGTAAAGCCAAAGCATATTGCATTGTTGTAATGTCGTATCACTTAGATTACTGGCGACATAGCAAAATCAGTACTGATCACTTTGCAAGTTACAACTACAGTAGTCACCGTTGTTTCACTAATTCGTGAAGAAGTGATACACAGTCAGTTGTTAAGTGTATGCCTCATTTGTTCCAGCCCAACTCGTTTTATTATGTATTTATAGTTTACTCATTGTTCTGGCCTTGTAATTCGTGTTTATCAAAGTAAGAGTTGTGAAGTACGTGTTCTCAATGTCTCACCTTTTATTCACTTTAAGTAAATGAATAGTGGGTGTATTAGACAGAGTTCAGCACTAGACAGGTGAAGTTGTATTCAGAGTGGTAGGTCATATCTGGTACATGTCATAAAACTCGGTATAGCATAGCATACATAAATAACTATGCAGCAGATTAATTGCAGAGAAGACAACTGTTTTTCCTCCCAAAAGACGTGTCTGGTTTCTTCAGGCCTATATAGTAAGCAAAATCAGAACTGAAAGAGTCATCAACAAGTAATGGGGCAGTGTAATTCAAAGTACACTGGGTCATTAAACTGAAAACGTATAGAAGCTCCTATGATGTTTACTGTTTATTAAGTAACAGAAAGCTAAGTGAAGTGACCGAGTGAATAGTAATAGTAATAACGCGATGAGGCACTTGGACTGGGAACTAATATTGATTGTTCTTCATCAGAACGTCATACTTCGCTGAACCAAGAAAATCGAAAGACAAAGAGGGGCCTGTGACCGTAAGGAAGATATTTTATTTGACGAAATTACATCACTTATATACAATTTTCATGAAAACTAGGTCAAAAAATGAATATTTATTTTGATTGGTCAACTATAGGATAAAGTTGTCCAGTTAGGTTTTTCTCGACCACACAGTAACATAAAACGAACGTTGATATCTAAGACTTTTACCTTAGTGGCTGATGACTTAAACTGTTGATTTCCATCCAGCCCGCTTCCAATTACGGAAGAACAACTACTTTGGTTTTATAGATAAATATCTAAAAGATCATAATAAAAACTAACACTTAGGTTATTATATATCAACATAAGGGCGCAAAGGAACTCGCAATGGTTAGAGGTAATTACCATATCACTTAAACATCAAACGATTTCTATAACTATGAAATATTCAACCCCGTGAAACGCACCATTTGCCATTTTCTCAGTCACTTCTCCACAGACCAATGATGTCCTATGCAATGCTTGCATTTTCGACAAGCTTTCCAGGGTTACGCCAGTGACCTTAAACTAGTGTGAACACCCTTGAACCCGCAACTTCATTTTCGCATAATGTCATTTGAACAGACCAAATAAATGCATAAGTAATTCGACTTTTAAAAAAAGTGTAAATTTCATCCTAAAATAAACATGCAATTCCAACCCTAATCCAAGTTTGACTGAAATCAAAAGAAACACACTAAACAACGATGGGAATATCAAAAAATCAATCACCATATCCCATAGGATGCACACAACAGAACACCTGATAGTATTTGGCGAAATTCGCGAATTAATTGGACGCGTCTCAAACTACTCACTTTTTTTCAGTAGTATATTTCTTCAATTCACAAAGTAATGTTTTTCGTGATTAGATGGTTCAACAATCCAACTAACTTTCTTATCACACAATGTGAACTGTGCAGCTAGTAAGTAATTATAAGAACTATGCACTGGTCAGACTTGATTCACAATTCTCAATATGAGTCAAAATACTTCAACATATCTGATAAGAGAATTATCATAATTCTTTTGAAATATAGTGCCATCAAGTAGAGCATACTAATTGTCTTCCAGAAGACCCTTGATAACATAAATGTTTACATCTGTTGGAAATACAAGGTTATACTGTCATCACCCAATGCATATTACCTCAAACATGATATCAGGGTTATGTAAAAGTGTTTTCAGACAACATATATAAGAGCAGAATTTGTGCACTGTGGTAGAGTATAGTTCTCTCACAGTTCCTTTTTATATGCATCACAAAATGAATCAACATTAATTACTGGCGGCATTTCAAGCAGAATTCATTCCTCATAATTACATCACACAACTTTCTGATCTCGTTTGTGTAGTTTTACTACTTTTCCATTCTGTAATTTAGTCGGTAGTAAATTTTTCAGCATACCTAGAATTGATTGCTGGTTCGAATCCGGCCGCGGTTCAGATTTTCATCTCACCTGCAATCGTCACCCAGTACAAATACGTACCGTTGGTGTTGCATCATTCCTGGTTACATGCGTCAGATATCGATTCGACAAATGTAATGTCACTTTCTTGACGGTTTGGTCGATGTTCTGGTCTTTACCACGGTAAGGGTTTCCGATTGGTTCCTAAGACTAACGGATTGAGGGAAATGCCCTGGAGCTGGTCCTACTTGTTATTATACGCCAAGTCGCTTTGTTCCAGTTATCCTACTGCCACTAACGTTATGCCAACTGACCCAGAGAGGTGAGTGAATTCAGATGGCCAGACCACACATACACTTTGTAATTAACAAAATATAAGTGTGCAAGGTCTTAAAGCATAGGGGGCCTAATCAGAAGGTTAAAGAAAGAGAATAAAGGTAAACATATGAAGGACATTCAAGATTACTTGGATATAGCTGTCAATCTCTTAGTCTCTCTTCAACTATCCACGTTATTTTTCAAAGTAGTCACTCTATCCCATCCTATGGGATGATTGTGTGTAACAGCAGGCATGGCTACAGGGGAGGATCTACCATCATATACTTAGCTAGGTTTGTATTTTCGACTGACATAACTGATTCTGGTTGGCTAGAGTTTGACCTATGTATTTTAAGCTGTTTGTTTTTGAAATGCCTAAATAGGAATTTCACATTACAACTTAGGAAGAACAAAGACCGGAAATTAAATTCATGAAGTAGGAATCTGACTAGTTTGAAAATAGCGAAACGAAAGAAGGTTACGTCTTAGTTTGAAAATCATACGTTGTTCGTCCTCCATTTTTCACGAGATACAATAAATACACTTTTCATGCCTCACTATAACAGATTACCGTAGATTTAACCGCATAAGATGAAAGCAGCGAAAATATCAGGTAATGTGAACGACTAAGACCCGATGACCAACAGTAACTTGCTCATTGCAACATCCACCGGTTTCGAATTCTAGACTGTTTTTTATTGAGACATGAATTATAAATTACCACATAAACCTTTATCGAGTTTCTGAGATGTACTTGGAATGCTGAGGAATCTCAGGGTGTAGCAAAACATCCCCAGTTTATCTTGAGTTCCAACGGTTCACCAACCAATACCACTTTTGATCAAAACTATTTTTACACGAAAGCTATGTTAAAGCAGCAAGAGTGATGAACAACTTACCTATCCATTGAAAACAAATTGCAACAATATAACCGAAGACGATTATCACTAGTCTAAAACAGAACTATTATGTAATGGAATTAGAACCGAAATTACGTGGAACATCCGAACTTTTTCACCATTTTTAAAAATAACCGAACGCTCCTTCATGCCCAACGATTTATGCTCATCAACAAACTGTCGTAAAGGAACTTCAGCTAGATCGCAGCCTATGATTTGACACAATTTATTTTGATAAAGCCATTCCATATCCACAGATTTTCCACAGAGTGGAATAAACAGCTGATTGGCAGGAGTATCGTTTTGGCATAATTCATTCCAGAAAGTTGTTAAGCTTCTAATAAGAAAATATTTAAAATAATTATCAATAAAAACTAAATTATCAGAAATATCACGTTTTTTTAGACCAACTTCAGTTATTACATTGATACAGGAAGAACACGGCTATCCGATAAAACGACTTGATGGTTGCTAGTTATCAAACTTGATCGTAGTTTATGGAGCAATAAATGTGATGTGACTGCTGAGTAGATTTATTAGGCACATCTAGGAAATGCAGTCAGTTGGAAGCTCTAAACATACATTTTGAAATGGTGGAGTATATTTGTAGCTTAAGTGGATGATCTTGGTTGTATTGTGTTCTCTCAGCTGGATTGTTCATGAGCGAAACCAATCCCAAGTTATCTCAGTAGTCATGTCGTGATCTCTGATTTCATTTCAATCCACATGGATAACTATGGACATGTGTTTAATTTTGACAACGTAGAAATATTGGACAAAAGGAAACACAAAGAATATCAGAGAATTCCTAGAAGCTTGCTATTCAGGTCAATCAGCAATCAATAGATGTATAGAACAATGATAATCAACAGAAAGGTCAGAAGTTAAACAGAAGAACAGCCAACAAGAAAATCTATGCAATCAATGGCACAACAATCAAAGGAAACAACCAATCACAAACCATTTCGTTAGGACGAGCTACTGAATCATTCGCGGAGTGATACTGACAGCTCAATTCATACCGAAGTTAGTGTTGACGATGTCGTCTAGAAAGACGATGAAAACTCTACGATTAAACAATCCACTCAGAGAACACAATACAACCAAGATAGATTTGGAACTTCTTGACATTCGCCAACAAAATACAAAACGCAATAAGCCCATACTCACTAAAAGACAAGCGCTATCTGACTTGGTGGTCGGCGAAATCGAACTAATGGTAGACAGGTAGATCATATTGTTTTGGTCGCCATTTTACGCATTATTTGCAGAGTACCTATGTCTGAATTCGAACCGACCGGAAAAACTGGAAAGCGTCCATATCCTTAGACTGAGTGTATTTAGAGCCAAAGTTACTGGGCAATTATCGAGGAAGGAAAACAATAATCACTGATATCAATAATTCAGAAGCGATAATACAGATAGTTTGTAACCAAAAAGGGAGTAGCAATAAACTAAATTAGACAATAATAACTTTACTACTTCTAAATGTAGCGAAACATAAGGCGAGAAAATACTGTAGCTTCTCTGTTCCTTCTACGACTGAAAATAAAGCCTAAAGTAGTGGGGATTTTTTTCGAATGTAACTTTGGGATTGCTTCTTTATACATTCATTTCTATTTTACTGTTGTACTCTTTTCGTTTCCTTCCTTCCAAACCACTTTTACACTCACCTTCTAGGTGGTGCTGCATTGTTTTTTAGTGGCGCATTTCCAGGTGCTTATGTTGTAGCAAATAAACAATATCATGTTCTATATGCAGTTGGGTAGATTAGTAAACAACCATTTGATTGTGAAAAACTTCAAATGCATTCTTGAAGAATAAACATTCTCAATGAACAATCTCCGATTCATTGAGAATGATATGAAGTGTAACCAGTACCTATGATCACTGGGTGGCAGAGATACTAATGAATCGATCGTGCAAAGCGCTGAAGAAGGCTTTTTCTGCCCAACTTTGAGTTGCTTTCTTCAGTCAACAAATGATTCGAGAATGTGCATAGGATAAACTATCGCTTTCGTTCACTACCATCAATTATTATTATTTTCACCCACCTTTTTTTACTCTGTAACTGTTTATTTCAATATGACAGTCTCACTTTTCTTACCTGTTCTATTACTTTCTGGGTTGTGTAATCTGCTTATTCTTCTTGTATTGATCGTTCAGTCATTACTTTGTAATCCAAGAAACCTTATGACCCCTTAGCCACTGATGAGCATATATTCCTGATGCAACTACAAATGTGGATTTATAGCTTCTGAAAATCATTCGTCGAAGAGAAAATTTTCTTCGCTGAATTCTTTTTTTATTTCTTATGGTTCGATGGTATTCTAAGACGCCAATTACAAAATATACCGTAAGTTCACGTACAAACAAGTTGCTATCAACAACTAACAATAATCAATCATAGTCGAGGAACAAGTCAGATGTTACCAGCTTCTTCAGCAATAACTCGCTTCCGAAGAAAAGTAGTATGAGACAAGTTAGTAGTGGAAGTCTAAGCTAAATGGGGTCTCTCCAGTTACCGTAAATGGCAATGAACAGCGACAGAGTGAAACAGTTAGAGATGGTAATAACAAATAGTAAACACCACACTAGCCGACAAATTTCCTGAAGCTAACAAGAAATATGTCCTACCAACTTCGTGATAATTCCAGTAACTACTAGTATGGAAGTCAGTACAACCAAAAGAAGGCTGACATGTTGATAAATGTAAACAAAACCCTTCAACTTGTGTGAATAACAATTAGGCGAACTAGGATTTTCAAACACACAACTCTGAGTACTGCTTAAGATGAACAGACACGCGAAAATACCTACTTTGAGTAACTTCTCGTTAAATGTTCTGTAGTACTGGACTGATGATGTAAGGTGAAATGAAAACTGGGCAGTGGCGGGATCGCATCAGCGACCACTGGGTTTCTGGCTTGCTGCTTCCTCCTTTCTTACCCAAACAGACTGGGATTCCGATCAGAAGTTCTGGTTGGACAGCCAGAAGGACCAAGCGTCGGTAGCGCGTCACAAATTCTCATGGTAGTCGGGCAACACCACTAGTGATTGAAGGCAAGATCTGTTCAGTAGTCAGGTCTCGTAACTCAGTAGGTAGAGCACCAGGCCCGAAACAAAGGTCACAAGTTCCGTCACGCTGCCAAAAATTTTCATTTCATCTTCAGCCGTCACCCAGTATCAATACTAGTCTGTCAAACCACAGCTATCTCAGTAAGTATAACTCATAAAATGGTTCTAAGTCTAATAAACACGAAGAATTCCAGTAAGAACTGAAACCAATCCCACTTCACGACAAGTAGATGTAGGCCTTCAAGACAGACAGTATAGTAGACTCATAAAACTTTCATTAAATATTTTGTACCCGACACACATCACCCCAAAACGACTGACAGAATCACTTGCAGGCAACAAATTTTAAACCTCCACTTCACGCAGATTATCTCAAAAAGGTGATGTGCTTACGCCAAGAATTATTATTATGATTATTTGTCCCTTGGGTTCCTAATGGAACATAGGGCTTCAGTAGCACGTCTCCAGTGCACTCTGTTCTCTGAAATTTCTTGAACCCGGTTCCACGATAGCCCACAAGCTCTCATTCCTTCCTCGCACGATCTCCTCCATGTCACCCTCAGCTGGGACACCCAACTCGTCGCTTCCCATCGGGGTTCCACTCGAGTAACTGGTCTGACGCGTGATGCCTCCAGTTGGCCTTCTCAGTGTATGCCCAATCCATCTCATCCATCGTTTCCAGAGTTCCTCCTTGCTTATTCTTTCTGGCCATCTGATCTTCAGTAGCGAGCGTAAGCAGTTGTTGATGAATGTCTGTAGTTGATTGGAAATGCCTTTCGTAACGCGCCAAGTCTCTCATCCATCACACAGAAGCACTGATTTGACGTCCGTGTTGAAAATACGGATCTTGTTCACGCTTTATGCTGAGTGCAGAACATCTCCACACTGGTTTCATGTTTATGAATGCCTGTCTTGCTTTTCCGATTCTGACTTTGACGTCCTCGTCTGTGCCTGTGCCGCCTGTAGTTGAAATGATGCTGCCTAGATAGGGTAGGTGAAGGAGGCTACTTCCTTTAAGTTTCTCCCATTGATGGTGATTGGAGCTTGTTGTTGTTGGTGGTGGTGTTGGTTGGGTATCTTCATCATCTCTGTCTTCTCTATATTCACTTGAAGTCCCGTCTTCGCTGCCTCACGTCTTCTGTCAACTTGTTAGTTTTCGCCTGTAGATCTTCAAGTTTATGCGACATTCGACACAAGTCATCATTGGCGAAATCCAAGTCTTCTAGGTTCTTTTCCGTAGCCCAGCGTATCCCCTTCTTCTCGCCCCTCACTGTTTGTTGAATAATACAGTCGACCATAATCAGGAATATCATGGGTGGTAGTAGACAGCCTTGTTTCACTCCTGTCTTCACTGCACTTCACTGCAAAGGCATCACTGAGCTTCCCATTGTGAATTACTTGGCATGTGGTGTCTTCATATAGTTGTTGAATGAGGCTGATAAAGGTTTGTGGTATTCCGTAGTGTTGAAGCAACTGCCAAATTACTTGTCTGTCGACGCTGTCAAAGGCCTTCTCAAAGTCGATGAAGTTGAGGTAGAGTTGAGTTGACTGCCATTCCATACTTTGCTCTATGATGATGCGTAGTGTAGCGTTGCAATTTGGTCCGCACATGATTTGTACTTCCTGAATCCAGCCAGCCAGCCTGTTCGGGTCGTAGTTTTGAATCCAGTGCATCCTTTAGTCTCTCCAGAATGATGCGGCTTAATATGTTGCTTGCTCTGGGTGGACAGGAGCATGATTCCACACCAGTTATTGCAAAGACTTAGGTCGCCCTGCTTCGGGAGTTTGACAAGGTAACCCTTCTTCCAATCAATCAGCAAATACCTTCACTTCCTTCCAGACCTTCTGCAATAGTGGTGTGAGCATGTCCGCTGTTGTCTCTGCGTCTGCTCTCAGTGCTTGTGGTGGGATTCCATCTGGTCCTGCTGCTTTCCCACACTTCAGTAGCTTTATGACGTTCAGGACTTCGACTTTTGTTGGAGGATTTGTGTTCACTGGTAGTTCTGTGGCTGGGGTGCAGGTGGTATTTCTGGACGAGTTGCATGCAGGTGGTGTTCGATTCAAGAGCTTTTTGAAGTGGTCAGTCCATTGTTTCCTTCGTTTCTCTTCTTTCGTAATTAAATTTCCTTATCCATCTTTTATTGGCTTCATGTGTATTGATCTCTTCCCAGATAGTAAGTAACCTGGTTATTTGATACAATGTTGTCAGGTCTCTATCTCTCCTACCAGCAGCCTGTTCTGCTTCACTTGCCAGTGTGTCGTGGAAGTGTCTTTTGTCTTTCCGTGCACTCTTCTAACTTCTTTGTCCAGTTTAGTGTTTTATACATTGTACTCAGTTCCTCTTCTCGTCGTTCATCCTAGCACTGGTTTGTCTTCTGCTTCACCCTCCTCCCCTCCTCTATCAGCTTCCATGTGTCCATCGGGATCCATTCCTTATCTTCTTCCTTCCTAATATGCTTGGTTATGCAGGTTTCTTTCCACATATCTTTCAAAGACTTCCAGTGCTCATCCACACAGGTTTCTTCAGAGATGTTCCTCGACATCTCCCATTTTGTCTTGATGGCTTATGTGGAGATGTCCTCTGTAGTTTCGTCCTTCAGTTTCCGAGTGTTGAACTTGAACTGTGGTCTATCACCAGCTTCCTTGAAGGCTTTCAACTTGATTTGGAAGGTTCCTTGCACTAGATAGTGAGTGGTGTGAACCTACATCTGCTCCTCTTCTTGACCTTGTGTCAAGTAGGCTGACTGCGTCTCCATTTTCTTGAGATTGAGATATAGTCGATTTGATTTTTAGTGTGTCCATCTGGTGAAATCCATGTCGCTTCGTGGATATCCTTGTGCCTTGAACACACTGCCTCCAATTACCAAATCGTTGAATGCAGCAGAATTCTGCAAACAATTCTCCATTCTCGTTCATTTCACCTGAGCGCCTCTCGACCCATGGTTAGTTCTCTTCCTGTGTTGTCCCCTCCCAGTTTGGCATTCATGTCACACCACCCATTAGAATTTTGATATCGCCAACTGAGGTCTTGTTAAGTGTTGATTGCAGTTGTCTGTAGAATTCCTCCTTTCTCTCTTGCTCTGCATTATTTGTAGGTGCATAGCGTAGTATTGAATGATTGTGACCTTCCTTCCTTCCTTTTGAGTTGAATCTTGCTGTCATGATCCTGGAGGAGGAGATTGGTTCCCACTGCATGAGAGTGAGCCTTCGATGCTCTTGGGGACATCAATGTAGCCACTCCATAACTCAGTGTGCTCGTGGTTGTCGTCTGGGTTAGGGTATCGGAGTAGATTATTGATTCTCCAGTTGACAGTTTGAAGAGTCCACTCCCATTCCATCTGCTTTCGCAAATTCAAAGCACTTCAATGTGATACCTTCTCATCTCGTTTGCAATCTGGGCTGCCTTGGTAGGTTCAAACATGGTTTGGACATTTCATGTCCCCACGTTTACTTTCGCTTTCATCCAGGGAGAGAAGACACATCGGCCAATTGGCTTCCCCTGAAGGCTTTCACCAACCGGCGTCATTTCGCCTCTCCGATTCCAGCGAGGAATAATTTGTTATATTTTGTTTGTGCTTTGAAGTTTGTTTAGCAGTTGGATTTGTTTTATGGGGTAGGGTTGCTAGTCCTATGCCCAACCTTCCCTCTTTATCCGGGCTTAGGACCGGCTAGTAACTAGTGAACTAGTTAACCAGGCGACAATACGAAAGATAATAGAAGGAAAACACTGTTAACGCTTTAAGACAACCTTAGTAATATGATAAAATAAACATTACCAGGATAGCCTTAGAGTAAGGACAAATTGCTCTCCTACACAGAAACGACAGGCTAAATTTCTTTATGGCCAGCGCTTCAGCAAACATAAGTATACGCCCCTGGCAGTTTCTATAAAAAATTGGAAAGGTTGTTTGAATATCGGCCCTGTAAACGTTTTCCAATGGATGATGATGGTTGTCTGCTAGCTGCGTTTATCGATGTTTGTGGATCCAGTTGCTTTTGTAGCTATTTTGGTACATGTTCCCCTACCCTCAAGTGTATATCACGATTAGTCCTGCCCATGTACGTTTATCCATATATATATATATATATATATATATATATTATAATATATATATATATATATATATATATATATATATATATATATATATAATTAAATTATATAGGATTGTTGGTAATGGTAGGAGATTGAGAGGTCGTAAGCGGTTTAATATCCGTATCGCGAAGTGAAGGTAAAGGAGGAGACGAATGTGAGGAGGGTAAGTTGTGTTTTATAGAACTGTGTGTACCACTAGAAGCGTATTTGCGGGTGGTCGACAATTCCCGGTTACCCACACTGCGGAAGTTGTTTTTACAGGATATCTGAAAGAAAAAAGATCTGACCGCTTGAGGCCAGCCACACACAGTCTTTTGAGGATGGTTGGTTTGAGACTTGGTTGTTCCAACACCGGATAAGAAAAACCCATACCACTGGCATCATAAGATCGTGGGACAGGGAGTGTGCCATTTCAGGGACCAACCTTTTCTAACCGCACCCTTTCCCACAGCGAAGGCAGCATCAATGTGGCACTGCTGCTCATCCAAGGGAAACACCTTACTGTCATACCCAAGCCAGATAGCAGTACGGCTTCGCCCCCTAATCCCCATCATAGTGAAGCAATTTACCCGACGGTAACTACTTTTTGCATAACTACTATCCGGCAGACCCTCATGGTATGGAAGGAGCGTTCCAGGCAGTGTAGCTCGTTGCGATATGCAAGCCCGCAAATTATTTCAAGGTAGCAGTCACTGGTCGGGATTCTCTGGAAGAGGCTAGGAATGCAAGTCAAATGAGCATTTCAGAAGATGATCGGGACTACTCCACTCTGACATTTGATGGCATTTGGGAGACCTTACAACCTATCACTGAACAGGGAAACACTTCAGACCAAAGTTTTTAACAAATGACTTATAGCATATTTACCACTTAAACGTACAACTCATTAAATAGCCAATGAGGTATAATAAAGAGTAGGTTAGTGGGCCACTGTTAACACACTCAGTAATGACAAGGTAAACTACATTAACTTGGAACTCCTCAATGAATTCAGTACTCCAGGTACCTCAAGAAATCTCGGAATGTGAGTCCATGCGATTTAAATTTTAAAAATCTCCAATTATAAGTTACATGACCAGTGATACATCTTATATGTGAAAGTAACTTCAGTATAGTGGACGCTCAGAAGTTAAAACCAGTATACACGCGGAAACAAAAAGATTAATTTCCAACTTCAGACATACCGATGAACAAAATTAATATGCCATCCAGTTTCACCCGTTTCCCACCTTCCGATCCAGCTATCAGGTGTAAAACTACACTGGTCATAGTCCATTATTCTATAACAAACCAAAATAGGTAAGAGTTATGCCTAAAGCTCGGTTATGGAAAGAAAAATATTGACAAAGTTAAACTTGAAAAAGTGTGGCGGCTAGAGATAAGCAACATGTGTCCAGATGTTTCTAGATGATAACCTTTCACAGACTCATCTGCTTTGCTTTCTAGCCCAAACCTTCAGAATTAGTCATAAACCTGATAACCCAGATGTTCTGAAACATGTTAAGGATACAAATAGGACCTAATGTCTCTAAACCCTTCACAGTGCCTCCATTCAATGTAGTGGAGTCGTGGCTCAGTGGTTGACGGAGTTGACCTTAAATCAGTGGGTCACAACTCCTGGCCTGGGATTAGGCATCCAGGCACTTCCAGCAGCCCCCATACAATAGGTCTGGTTCAATGTGTAAAGAGTTGCTGAATGAATACAGTTATACACATCAAAAATTAAGTCTGGGTCATACTAGAGTAGAACTAATTCGTTCGCACCAAACATAATTCGAAAGTCAATGGAACTTTAGTGGCAATCAATATAAGCAGTCCCTTGGTAAATTGAAAATGACCTTTGAAAAACCAATAGCATGAATAGAGTTAACATGAAGTATATCAGCCCTCGCTTCTACGTCTTCAGCACAGCCAATTTTTTTTACTGGTGTTTCTCTCAGGTGGTGACAGACGACTTAAGAATAAACCTGCATGGGAATTAGAAATACTGGCCGTCTCCTGAACTTTACCCAATGCAAATAGCACGCTTCTCATTTTGGAAAAACAAAGGAACTGCTGATAAGATCAGTTGACCTTTTCAAATCCCTGTTTTTGTAAGCGCCTGTAAGTAATAACCATTATTTAAAAAGTAGGACGAGTGAGGAATTAGAAAAAAGTATAACTTTTGGAGAAATAACTGTTGCTTGTAACATGGAGAAGGCATGAGTCTTATTGCAATTACTAGGGTCAGGGAATGCAGGGATAGATGAGGGTACCTTCAGTTGGTACCGGCAAATGATCGCGGAAACCTATTCGCACTCACGCACTTAACGAGCAGTCTTTGAAGGAGTCAACTGATATAGCTGTGACTACTTCTTTCAGCAGAGCGTTCCATAAGACACACTCTGTGTGAGAAAAAGTTAGATCTCCCTCTCATCTTTGCCGTCTGATGAGATATGCAAGTGGGGTTCCCGCGAAACTGTCGGTTTTGGACCAATAGTGTTGTCCCATTGCGGTAGTCCACTTGATGGATGGATGTGGGGTATTATTAAGTCGCCTCTTTTCCTTCGATGACTTAAGGTGAGCAAGTTGAGTTGTCTAAGTCGTTGCGCATATGCTTTGCCTTTTCTTTCGGCAACTAACCTTGTCGCCCTTCTCTGCACCTTTTCCAGTGTTTGTGTCTCTTTAGCAGAGGGAAGGAGCTATTGTGCTGAACACCTCTAGGTGTGGTCTAGCTTGGGCTTTAAATACAAAGAGGAATAGTTCAGGAGCAAGGGCTCGAAGCTAGCCTCTAAGGAAGTGCATGATGGACTTAAGCCTTTGCCATCATTCCCTTATAGTCAGCCCAAGTATTGAGTGTGTCAGAGTTTAGTCCTATGTCCTTGTCTGTGGGTACCCCAGTGACCGCGTACTTGTTAAGGGTGTAGCTGGTTTCGATAGCTTCCAGTGTGCGGAGATACATTATCTAACACTTCTCCAGGTTAATGCTCAAACCATACGCAGCTGACTAGGACTCCGAATGCAGTAGATCGTCATATAGTATCCTATAACCCTTCCAACTATGTTTCCATGACGGTAAATAGGAGGATGGACGAGATTTGCAACAGTACACTAACCTCCACAGAAGTCCACGTTTCGGACTAAGCCCAAATGTCGAGTAGTCGAGCTGGCTAGCGGCAAAAATGGGACTTGGAAATTTACTTGCCAGCAGCGCAAGTAGGTTACCAAAACCTACATACCTGCAGAGCATTTCCTCACCAAGATTGCTAGCTGTACGCTTTGACTGCAAAGCATCACTCAGTTTCTCTCACAGCATGGTACCGTGTAAAATACCAAACAGGAGGTGCTATACGATGCTACAAAAATAAACCACGATCGGCCAGACTGGAAGATAGGAGGCAAGCCCCGAGAATACTACAAACGGTACAAGTCATAAAAGAACTATCTAGTAAACTACCTGTGGACATAACAATGAACAACACCACCACCAACACCAGGATGTCAAGAGGGACCAACAAACGGAGACCTGCCAGCCCTGTATGGACTTTCTTCTGGGCTTGGTGCGATACCGGTACTTGTTCGGAGGCTGGTGTACTGTTGCATCGGATTCTGACCGCCAATCTCTACTGGACTGCAGACCCCTTTCGAAGCTTTCCCTCCATCACTGTCTCCTTTTCCTCCTTGGAGATGCCTTCCACGGTCGATTTACATGCCTTTTTCCCTCGAAGTCGACTTTCCTTCCTCACTACCAATTGACAAAAGTGGGGGGAAATAGGGAAAACGTGGGAAAAACTAATGGTGAGCAAAAGGGGAAATGCAACAAGACACGAGTATTGCAATGTCCGCACTAGTGGGGTTTATCCCCATTTTTTCCCACGGCTTCCCCCTTATCCACACTTTTTCCCCACGGTTCCAAAACTTAGACGCCTAATTTCCCCATCCCTTCGCCTTTGTCCTCCTAACGTCCCCACGTTTTCCCCATGACCGTCAGCTTGGGTTTGCAGAAGGAAACATACAAATAGACAACCACTACCTCTAAAGCTATAAGCAGGTAAACTGGAAAGATATCTATCACTATCTAAGAAGTATAACCGAACAAAAACAACCTGTCCTTAAGACGTAGGAGCAAGAGCTCAAAGACCGCAAGCTCCCCTACTTGTGTGCCGATGTCAACTTACTTCAGGAAAGGGACAAGGTCGACTGGCTGTCCAAACTTCACAGTACAAAGTTCTTGCTGAGTAATTAGTCCAATATCCAATATTGATAGTGCGAGCGTAGAAAACTGGTAGTTTTTTTTTCTTCTACTCTCTGGGTAGGGTAGCGTAAAACACTTCCCCAAAATCAATAGCCTAGGGTTTGACGACTTTCGACATTGATGCTGACCTTGATAGTTTAACTGGACTCGCTAAGCTGAAGGCACCCGGTCAAGCATCCTCGCCATTTGGCACGCTGTCGTGTTACGTTGCATTGCTCGTATTCGACTCTCTAGCCAGTTAGTTGGAACGCATCGGTATTTTGGCATAACCATCCAAATATACTATTCCATCCGACTACGCTATCGTGTTCTTCCTTGGTCTCGTATTCGTGGGTATATAACAAGTTCGAATAATTAGTGATTGGTCTTTGCGTCTGTCAAGTTCGCACCAGGACAAATCCTAAATTGGTGAGCCCGACGTGATCACATATCCCGACCAATAACAAGTATTGAATTGGTGAGCCTGTTCCATTTTATATTTGTTTATTGTTTTCATTTCGATAACATTTATATATCCATTTACTACACTTTCTCATGTCCGACCACACTCCCAAGCTTATTCGTATTAAGCCGACTACGAACACGATCCAACTCGTGCCATATTGGCCAGACAATGCAGAAACATGGTTTCTGTATGCCGAGGCCGATTTTCGAGAACAGGGTGTCTCAGATCCTCATTCTCGATTTCTTGCTGTCATACGGTCACTACCGCGAGAATTAAACAGGTATGTTACAGCAAACATGTTTAATCCTGAAGTAAGTGACCCTTATGCACTTCTAAAGGCCGCACTCTTGAAGAAAAGCGATCTCACAGATCGCCAACGTCTAGACGAATTGCTTCGTAACATCGAGCTAGGCAGCCACTCAGCTACTGAAGTCCTCGCACGCATGCGAGAAGTAATCGGTGCACGAACATTTGACGATGGTTTCTTCCGAGAACTATTTCTCTCGAAACTACCACAACCGGTGCAAACCGTGTTGGTGACACTGCAGTCAGTCCCACTCGACGACCTGGCAGCCTCAGCAGATAAAATACTGGAGATATCCAGCAGACCCGTCTCCAACGTATATTCTATCTGCGACAAACAGAGCGCCAGGATTCAGAGGTGACCAAGTTGTGCAACTCTGTGAAACGGTTGCTACGATCTCGAAGTCCTAGATCACGTAGCACTTCACAGAAACGCACCTTGGCGCATCGCAGCAAGTCGCGTGGTAGCCCTAAAACGAAACCCAACAGGGTGGAAAACCCTGAATGGTGCTGGTTTCATAACACTTACGGGGATGAAGCCAGAAAATGTCGTAAACCATGCCGTTTTAAGAAGGACACAAACTCGGGAAACGGTCACGCCGGCACGTGCTCACGGCAACCGTAGCCGGCGGAAAAAGCCGTTTGCTCTACGTCACCGACGTTAAAACGAAAGTCCGCTACCTCGTCGACACCGGCGCAGAAGTTAGCGTTCTTCCAGCAACGACAAAGGAGCGTCATCTTGACCCATCCTTCAATCTTCAAGCAGCCAACGGCAAGGCAATCGCGACATTCGGGAGACGGTATGCCTACCTCAACTTAGGTTTACGCAAACCTATCCACTGGATTTCCTCCTGGCAGACGTCTCTATGCCCATCATTGGCATAGATTTGCTAAACCATTACGATCTACTCGTAGATGCTCGCCGTCGACGACTGATAGATAACAACACAAAGTTATCTATTGGCGGCACCACCTATGTAGGTCCGAGTTTAGCCATCGTTAGGACTAAACAATCAGGCGACGCGTCCTACCAGGCAGTTCTGGAGAAATATCCAGAGTTACAGCAACCGAAGCACACTCTTCCGTGCATAACCAGCAATGTTATGCATCACGTCACAACCACAGGTCCACCTGTGGCATCCAAAGCGCGCCGTTTAGCCCCCGATAAGCTCCAAACGGCGAAAAATGAATTCGACCACATGCTCGAACTGGGCATTATCAGACCGTCAAACAGTCCTTGGGCATCGCCATTGCACATGGTTCCCAAAAGGATAGCAACGACTGGCGTCCAACCGGTGATTACCGAAGGCTTAACGCCAAAACAACTCCGGACTGCTACCCGATACATCAATACAAACCCTCGTACACTTTGCCTTTTTATATCAATTTTTATTACCATGTAATGAAAATTTTTAAAAAACGGTGAAAATAAGCGTAAATTTTCATTTTTCGATATGTTTATATATAAATAATTCCCATTTTTACAAACGTTTTCGTGGTATTAAAGACTTTTATTTATATTCCAGGTGCAACGAGCACTGGACGGAACGTCGAAAGGAACAGATGACCGCGACCGACGTACAATTCGATTTATTGTATTTTATTTATTTAATTGCCACGACACCCTAGAATAAGTTCAGACAACCAGGGGCCACCTCACGCAGTGAGCCCATCGGAAGAGTTTTACCAGTGGAGAAACCACTGGGTTTTTACTTCCGGCTGGTATCGTCTTAGGGTCCTCACGAACCCACTAGGGGGGGAGTGATCTGTAGCGTCATACACTTCCCCAAAATCAATAGCCTAGGGTTTGACGACTTTCGACATTGATGCTGACCTTGATAGTTTAACTGGACTCGCTAAGCTGAAGGCACCCGGTCAAGCATCCTCGCCATTTGGCACGCTGTCGTGTTACGTTGCATTGCTCGTATTCGACTCTCTAGCCAGTTAGTTGGAACGCATCGGTATTTTGGCATAACCATCCAAATATACTATTCCATCCGACTACGCTATCGTGTTCTTCCTTGGTCTCGTATTCGTGGGTATATAACAAGTTCGAATAATTAGTGATTGGTCTTTGCGTCTGTCAAGTTCGCACCAGGACAAATCCTAAAGCAGTTCCGGAGTTCCATCTCTCTCCTATCGGAGTGTGTTTTCGGTTTGAATGGGTCATATTTGTCTTCCGTTATGAGAAAACCTTCATGAAGGAGGTTATCGGTTACTCTAATATCCAATATCTTTTTACGAGCTAGTGTGAACCAATCCAGTTCTTCGCGCTCGCTTCTAAGTCTTGCGGAACTGTTCCAGGTCTTTGGTGGATTCCAGTATCCAATATTGATAGTGCGAGCCTAGAAAACTGGTAGTTTTTGATCTCTCGCGTCTAGTTCTTAAGGCTTGGTTCGAGTTGTTCGGTTCACTCCTGCAGTGGACGAGGAAATCCCCTCTGCTTTCTTGCCTTTAGTTTCGGTGAGGTGGATTTTTTGTGGGTTAGTCGATTGCAATTTGTAGAGTGATTAGGGAGCTACGGGTTGCTGGGAAGTTTAGAGAACTGCCGTGACTCCTGTCTGGGTAGGCACCTGAAAGATGCAGCAGGTCTGCCCACTAGTCTGCTGTAGCTCTGGTTAGCCCGACGGGCGGTCGAGTGTTGGTGGAATTTGTAGAAGGTGTTATTTGTTTTTTTCCTCAAAGGACTGCAGTAAATATGGGTTCCTCAAGTGTCGTGCCAGCAGACACTTGGTCTGACTGGTTGTAAAAAGGAGATGAAAAATATATGCAGAGAAATCAAGGGAGAGGAAGTGCAAAAAAAGCAAATGGAAAAAGAAAGAAAAACAAAAAGAGCGAAACGGGAAAGAAAACGGTGATCAGAAGAAAGGAAACGGCGTGGAAGAAGAAACACTGGCAGATTTATGGGAAGGGGTGATAGGGAGAGCTTTTGTTAAAGTTTGAGAACGTAGTCAGAAGGAAGAAGAATAAACAACATTGTAGGACTCACAGCGATATAGTAGTTCTTTTAGTAGGATAGTAACTGGAGGGGACGTCCGTAGGCAAGTAAAGGGTCGGGTCGAGCTTCAGTGATAGTGGTGTTACAAACCATTCAGTAACGGTTGGCCGTGGTAAGTTAGTCGGTCTTGTCAGCCTACTCCAGATCCCAGTTGGATGAGCGCAAACAGTGCGTCGCTGCATAAATGTGCAACCTCTTCTTGAAACTGTCAACAGCCGGAGTAGTAGCAATCTTGGTAGGCAATGCGTTCCAGTGGCAGCAAACTCGAAGAGAGAGAAGCGTGACCGAACACGGGTTTTCGCCCTTTGGTGGGTGATTCTCCTTGAGTCACCACGAGGATTTCCATAGTAGTTGTTCGGTTGGATTCCACTGTCAGGATGACTTCGGTTACTTAGTATTTTACAAGCCGTTATTAAGTCACCACATAATCTACGGTAGATTCGAGAGTAGAGTCCTAGATCTTTCAGCCTATCCTGGTTCGGTTTTCGCCCCATTCCTAGGACTGCCTTTGTGGCTCTCCTTTGAACTTTCCTAGGAGGTCCAAGTCTCTTTTCAGATATGGTGGTTCAGTGACGTCATGAACCCCTAAGTGAGGTTGTATTTGGGTCTTGTACGGCTTCAAAAAGAGTTCTGGGTTCAGGGCACCTAGTTGTCTGCGCGTGAAGTGTAGTGCTGCGTGGGCTCTGGAGGCATCTCCTGGATAACTGAAGCTAGTGTCTAGTTTGTCAGTCATTATTGGTCCTAGGTGTTTCCCTTGCGATGGTATGGGAAAGTTGTGTTCCACAGAGAGAATAGGGTACCTTCTGAGAATCTGGGGTGCGGAGAGACATGGCTTAGCGCTTATCCAGATTAAATGCTAGTCCATTAATATCCACGCACCCAGTAAGTAATCTGGGGTCACTTTGCTGGCTTTTGTGCAGAGTTGTCTGCCGTCTGGACAGTACTGTAACCATGAAAACACTTGTCCCTTGATGTCCAACCTTGCTATTTTGTGAATAAGAATAGCATGTGAGACGGTGTCGAAGGCCTCAGCAAAATCCAGTTAAATAACATGGACAGGAATTTGGAGGTCACAACATGCCGTATACTTTTCACCTGCAGCCAGAATGTTTGAGGCACAGGACATACCCCCTCTGAAGCATGTTGAGCGTCACTAAGCGCTCCCCTCTTTTCTAAGTACTCTCCGATATGGCCGCCTACCAGGCTGTCCATCACTTTCGACACCACTGGTAGAAGAGCTATTGGCCGGTAGCATTTTCGGTTCTGCCCGTCTCCTGTTTTGAAGATGGGGACAGAATAGCACTTTTCCACCCTCGTGGAAGCATATGACTGCCTGAGGAGTGTTGAAACAGATTACGCTGCA